AAAAAGAAAATTAGAGTAATCACAGCCCCTAGAACATAGGGTTGTGCATGTAAAGCAAGTAGCACCTAACAAATCATAGATATGAAATGTTTACTAAATGCCAGGCACTCTTATAAGTACTTGTGTTACCTTGTTTACTTTTCATAATAATCTATGAATTAAGTACTCTTACTCCCATTTTACAGATGAGGAAAGGGAATCAGAGAAGTGGAGTCTTGCAGTCTGGCTCTGGCTTTTCCACTCATACCATTGCCTCTGGTTTCCTGATTGACAGGAAGCATCCCATCACTGGTGGCTGATAAGAATCACAGATACTCAGTTTTACTGAGTTACATGCTAATAGTCTTACCAGGAGCAGTGTACTCAGGCTGGGCCCTCTGTGCGGCTCCTCCCTATGGTGTATGTTCAGGGACAGCTTTGGCTGCTGCTTTTTCCTTTCTAACATCAAATAAAAAAACTATGGGCAAGAAAGCTAACTGTTTCTCTTTTTATTGATCTGTTATTCCTTAAGATTAAGAGAAAGCAAATTTGGCATATATGAGTAGGTTAGAGGCATAAAGTATTGGTGATTTCCCTCTAACAGTTCTGAAGATAGATGCAAGTACAGCAGATACATAACTGTAGATTTTGGAAACAGCTTTATGTTCGAATGCATTGTTCTTTATTGCCTACAGTGCTGCATTTGAGGTCAGCGTTATCTCAGCTTTCGTGTTTTCTTCTCAGTAGAAGTTGCCCTCATCAGTTCACTCTCTTCTGAGGCTCTGCTTTTGGTACCTACAGACCTAATTTCAAGCTTCATCAAAAGTACATAAGAAGGTTTTGTTGTGAATTTAACAAAATAAAAGACCAGTTATGTACATAATTTAATTCTAACCACCAAAAGCTAAAATCTGGGAACTTAAGGGTAAATAATATTTAATAACAATAAGCCCACTTCTTCAGGTACTGATTCTCTGTGTCAGTCATTTTATAATTGAGTGATTTAGTGATAATGGTAGTGGTCCCACTTTTGCCTAGTTTAAACCTTTGGTATCTTAAAATTTTGTAAGTACAAATAGCAGCTGAGTACAGTGGTTCATGCCTATAATCTCAGTGCTTTGGGAGGCAGAGGCAGAAGGATCACTCGAGCCCAAGAGTTTGAGACTAGCCTGGGGAACATAGCGAGACCTCATCTCTACAAAAAATATAAGCCAGGTGTGGTGGCATGGGCCTGTAGTCTTAGCTACTCAGGAGGCTGAGGTGGAAGGATTGCTTGAGGCTAGGAGTTCAAGACCAGCCTGGACAACACAGCAAGACTCCATCTCTTTAAATTAGCCAGGCATGGTGGGATGGAACTATACCTAGCTACTTAGGAGGCTGGGGTGAGAGGATTACTTGAGCTCAGGAGTTTGAGGCTGCAGTGAGCTACAATTGAGCAACTGTACTCCAGCCAGCCTGGGTAACAGAGACTGCCTTAAAAAAAAAAAAAAAAAAAAAAAAAAAAAAAAAAAAAAAAAAAAAAAAAAAAAAAAAAAAAAAAAATTAACACAAAATTATCAAGTGATATTTACCAGATTAACCAAGATACTAAGAATTAAAAAGTTTAATTTCTTGTTATTCCTTGAACTTGTAGTGCTTTGAGAATGAAGACAAATAGTATATTACAGTACACAGGAATACAGTCTTTGGGTTCAGTGGACCTGGGTTCAAATCTTAGCTCTGCCACTTAACTGAGTCTTTGGACAAGTTGCCTCGGTTTCCTTATGTGTACTGTGAGAATAATCACGTTCCCTTCATCTGGTTCTTACAGAGATAAATGTGTGAAAAACATTTAGCACAGTCCCTGGTAACCAGTAAGGGCTTAATAAATAGTGGTTTTCCTGTCATTCTACCAACTTTATCATTATCCTGCTTTTATTATACCATAATAATCTCCCATTTAATCTTCAGTCACTGAAAACATCTTCACTTTGATTCCAGCCCCTTTTTTTCCTTTATGCTTCTCCCACCACTACCACTACCTTAGTGACATTTATTCTCACTGAAGTCATCAAACCCATCCTTTTAATGGCACTTGTAGTCTTTACCACATAATTACACTGTTCTTGCGCTCCCTTGTGTTCATCTCTTCACCAACACAAATGTCCTTGAGCAGAAACCATCTCTCTAATATCTGGCTGAGTACTAGGTGCTCAGAAACGGCTTCATCCAGGGGTTTCCCATTCTCTGAGCCAGAGCAGTTTTATCTAGGGTCTGCAGCCAGCTTCTGCCATTCTAAACTTTTTTCAAGTGCAAGATGCATATGAAAAGAGTACCCATTTCTTGGCATACATGTTAATACATATAAAGGACACAGAAAGTGCCTGGCCTAGTTAGTGCTGCTAATATTCTCTGCAATCTTTAATGAAACTCAAGACATTTAGGTGGGGATAACATGTTTTGGATGAATGTCTTCTTAAAACACACAGGACCTTTCCAGATAAAAATTGAGCAGATTAGGCCTCTGATGCTGTCCTAATTGCTTGGCCTTCTGCTAGTTACATTGATTTTATAATCATCTGGCTCATGTTGAGAGAATGTAATAGAAAAATTATGACAGGAGAATGATTAGAATAATTAGTCATAGCCTTATATTCATCTCAATATAAAGAACAGAGATTTATGACTCCTCAGCTATTTATCTTGATTGCAGGGCAAATGCTGTATTATCTGGGTAGCTGACAGTGGTCAGTACGGCATGCATCTGTATTTATATCCGCCTGTCTGGTACTTTTGTGACATTACTGGTGGTGCCTGGAAACCCAGAGGGTGTGGTTAGGCATCCTTGGATAAAGATGCAAATTGGAGAGACTAGTGAGTCATATATTTCCATGATTATCATACTGAGCTCTGCTGGATTTTTGCTGCTTCTAGCCACAGTGGCAGCAGGCATACTGATTTCTGGCCATGTGTGTGACATTAGCTTGGATATTACAGTTGAGCACTTTGCAGGAAAAAACAATAAGCAGTTAACCTGAAAGCATTTCTTTTAATGATGTGAGGTGGGCTACGCCTTTAAAATGCTGTGGTTTTTACCTTACAGAGTAAAACAGTTATAAAGCTGACATATTTTTTCTTATTTTGAACTAGAGTCCGTGTTCTTAATCACAGCACTGTAAGTTCTCGGGAATCTAAAATTCTAAACTATCATTATCGTATAAATGTTGCCTTCAACCTATTACTCTACTAAATATGTCACTCTGCCCTTGAAAACAGTGTTGTATCTGTCATTTCTAAGTAAATGAAAGTCCTATATACTAGAGTGATTCTGCGGTTAGGTTGTGTCCCATCTCACCCATTTTGCCTCTTGTTTGAAAATGAGTTTATTCTTGGGCTAATCATTTAGAGACTCTCCAGCTTTGTACATAGTAACCCTTTTGTCAACTTGAGATCATTTTCATTGCCACTGATCATTATTGTAGAATTTGCTTACTTCTAAACATTTTAAATGGAGTGATCAGATAATTTTGGAAATTTTTCTTGAACTGTGCATTCTGCTAAATATTCTGGAGAAACATTTTGGCTCCGCTTACTCTGTTAATGCTGGTTACATCATGAGAGCTATAGATTTGTTGGGCATGCAAAATGATTGCATATTCATGAACATCTTCAATTCTGAAATATTTGTAAATAACTTGGCAATTTTTTTCATAAGGTTGCCTATTAACACGATTAGGACTTTAATTGTTCACACAGAAAGAATTTGTACTTACAGAGCACCACCTATTTGATAAGTAACATTTCTATGCTAAGCAACTTGGATTATGAACATATAAGTCACCTTCCTAAAACAAAGTATAAGAGATGCTATTTTCCGCTTAAGAATGATTCAAGTTTGAAAATGTCAATAGATGCAAAAAGCCACCCTAGAGCTTTGCTCTCTCGAAAGAAAGAAGAGAAGGAATGACATAGTCAATGTTAACTGTCACCAGATGAAGAGAAATCAGATTGTCAGGCCTGGATCTATAAAATTCTTGCCAAAGTAGGACCTCATTTACACATACAGATCTTCATACCCTTTGCTAAGAAAAGCATCTGTGGCAGTTTAGATGTTTGTGCGTTTGCCAAAGATCTTTCACTCTGAATAAAGTAAATGTCATGTCTGTTGTTTATCTCAAATTCAGCAGAGTATTTTTAAAAGGAAATATTTGTGGGGGAGGGTCGAGGGAGAAGGGAAGAAGGAGGTTGGGGAGCTCCAGTTAGCTGGGTGTGGCTATTTTATAGCAGTACTCAAGTATCATGATAAATAAGCTTAAAACATACTTTGGGTTTATGAACTGAAAGTCTCCTTTTGAAGTGACAACACAAAATAAATGGGAATGTGGAGTCTTCCTGAATCTATACCTAGTCTGTCAACACCAAAAAAATCCAGTTAATTCAGTCAAACTGATTATTTGGCATCATGTAGACACAGCTGTCTTGAGCTAAAATTTTGAACACTTAAAGATAGATGGCATTGTACCCAGAGCCAGCTGGTACAATGGCATCTATCTATAATTGTGTATAAATGATTGCTTAAAAGTTAAAAGATTGGAAATAGAACTTAATCGCTCAAAGTTCAAGCTGGACCCCATTGAACAGCAATAAAAAAAAAAAAAAAAAAAAAAAAAAAAAAAAACCCCTGGTGTGATAAAATTTCTTGGCAAATGGGTACCCTTGATAAATTCACACTTCGGGTTAAGAGTATGCTGTGGTAATTTAACTATGTAAATTGCCTTGAATATAAAAAGTAAAGGGAATTCTCTATGTACCTTTTTTTTAAAAACCGTATTTAACCTGGCTTGTCGGCATTTGAAGTCATAATGAGATCCTAATGTAAAATAAATCCTGAGACTTTTCTTCAGGACATCTATTTTGTGTGATACAATTATTTTGTGCTTTGCAGAAATCAACTATTTGTCTTAAGGATGCTTTGCTTTATCAGTGTAATTTGTTTTATGGAAGTATTCTATGTAATTTTGAATATTATTTTATTCCCCCAGATGACATGGAAGCCATTCCTGTCAAACAGTTTGTCAAACACATCGGTGAGCTCTATTCTAATAACCAGCATGGGTTCTCCGAGGATTTTGAGGTATGTTTCATAGCTGGAAGTTAACTTCCAGAAACTTAACTCTTACTTTACGCAGATTTTTGTAAGCTTGAACTGAATTCATTCCAAGCATAACAAAACAATAACTGTGGAAAGTGGAGTTTTTTCTTTTCATCTATAATTTTAATAGGCATTCTTTTCCAAATAAAATTTAGGTGAAAGGGGAGTTGATTGTACCTGTCCTGAACATGCACTTCTACAAAAGAACTAACTTAGTGATAGAAAAGCAAACTGGTAGGGATTGCTTTCCAGGTTCTTGCTTCATCTAATTCTAACTGGGAACAGCAATCATAATACAAGGCTCCCTAATTCCACGTCTTTTCTGCAATGCACATGGTGTAGTGAAGATAGCAGGTTTGGTGTCTGAGAAACTGGATGCTGGATTCATCAGTAGTGAGCTTCATAATCCTTGGGCCAATCACCTCATCTCGGGTTCCCAGTTTTCCCGTTTTTAAAAAATGGCACCAATGTCACCTACATTGTAAAGTCGTTGGAGAAAATAAATGATTAACATCTTTGAAAGTGCTGAGTTGATTGTTAAGAACCATGCAAAGGTTGACTGTTGTTGTTTTCATGATTATTAATCCTTGGAGAGAAGACTTGGGTTAACACAGCCTTCTGATTTTAAGAACTGGTGTGTAGGAAACAAGGTAGAGAGAGGCATGTACCACCCTGCCAACTCTGGGTTCCGTGCCAGTTCAGCAGTGACAGGGTGTCAATGAGGAGCTATTAAACAGACTGCCCTTTTCTTCACTGAGGCGCTTAACTAAGGCACATCTCTGGCAGCAAGAGTTGTGTCGAGGAGGCCAAGTTTTCATGGCAGCTCAGCTGTCTTCTAGCTTTGTGGGTAAGTCGGTTCCTTTCTCTGTCTCATTTCTACTTTAAAATGGAAATAATGATGATGATGTTAACCTACCCATCTCTTTCAACAAAATTGGTTGCAGGGCAAAATGAAGTAATGGAAGGTAAGCACTTTAAGATCATCTAGGAATCATACAGCTGGAAGGTGCAGTTACCTTGAATGAACAATGAGAAATAAAAACAGGATGAAAAGCCACTGTCTATGCAAATTTGGAATCCCAAAAGGCTATCATAAAGGCAATTATATTGATGACTTGTTTTAAATTAAGTCTTTCTCTTAGTTTTTTGTTAGTTTTTGTTGTTTTGAGCAGAATGAAAACAAAGGTGGTAGAAAGAACCTCTGATTTATTCTGTGAAGTCATATGTTTTATGGAACCAACAAAAGCATGTCAAGTATTTAATGCCATTAGATGCTTACTAAAAAAGGTGCCTATTCAACTACAAAGAACATGGTTTAAGTCAAACATTTTGTATTCATGAGGACAGCAAATGTGTGTGGTGTTAAAGTGATTTAGTTCAATTGACTGTTGGCTGGATGACTGAGCAAGAATATTGAGGCATTAAACAATGTTGATGGTATTCAGGACAAACATTTATCCTCTAGAGAGCCGAATTTGATCAGGATGATCAAATGCAACTCCAGTTTCTCAATTATTTATGATTTGAGACCCCAGTGCTATTCATCACAGCTGGTTTTGACACCATTTAATTATTCAAAATAATCAGCTACACCTCTGTAAACTTGATCTGACTTAAAATGGGCTTTGCTGCATCAAAATCAAGCTTCCTAACAAATCCTGGGCATCTGTACCCTATTTCTGTCCTAAAAAACATATACTGCAGCTAAAAGCTTTAATCACCTACATTGAACTTTATAGCTTAAATAGTATTAGCTGATACTTATGGGAGTGGAATGGGGAGGGCAGGCAGGAAGGTGAAATGACTGTTGTCATTTCACAATCTGTTCAGGTTTGAAAGGTTTAAAATCAGCTGTTCAGAATAGGAAGAAAATGCTTTCTTCTAAAAAGAACAGCAATGTAGCAACGTAAAAGGGAGAGTAAGAAAATAGAAAAAGCTCACCAATATTACTGTAACCTTATAATTAGGTGAAAATTTGAAGTATTTTTAAAAGAGTAGTATTCCTTTTGGGTAACTGCTAAAAGGGAAAACTGGTAATAGGCTACATAAGAAGCTATTATGACTATTTTATAATCAGATAGTAACAGGCTTTATAAGAAAGGATAGAAAAAGATTTTGTGTAATTAAAAACAAAATTTTATTATGGTAAGAGAGTTAAGGTAATCCCAGTCTCAGATTTCCAGACCCATTTACCTGGAATAATGATAGCTAGCATTTAGTAGTTAGCACTGTGCATGGATCATTCTATTTCCTGACGTAGGTGCTATCTTATTGTCCCCATTTTACTGATGACAAAACTACCCATGAGAAAACTGAGGCTGTGGGTGGCTACATTTTGAAATGGCAGCAGCAGGGTTTAAGACCAGGGTATCCGACTTGAACTCATATGGTTCACCTTGACACCATCCAGACTCTCATTAAAGTAGTGTCCTGGGCCACAGTGGCTCACATCTGTAATCCCAATGCTTTGGGAGACCAAGGCGGGAGGATCACTTGAGACCAGGAGTTCCCAACCAGCCTGGACAACACAGCAAGACTCCGTCTCTACAAAAAAAAATTTTTTTTTAATTAGCCAGGTGTGGTGATGCACAACTGTCGTCCTAGCTCTTCAGAGGCTGAGGCAGGAGGATCATTTGAGCCCAGGATATTGAGGCTGCAGTGAGCTATGACTGCACCACTGCACTCCAGCCTGAGCGACAAAGCAAGACCCTGTCTCAGGAAAAAAAAACACCAAAAAGCCAGAGTAATGTCCTGTAATGAGCCAAGGTCAGAAGGAGAAATAAGCAAGCTTGCAAGTGACTAGCACTGATAGTGCCACAGTGCCTTAACAATACAAAAAGGTGGGGAGAGCAGCCAAATTACGAACCACCCCCCAACTAGGAGTATTAGCTGCCCATTACATGATCTTTATGGTCTCAAGCCTTCTAAGATAGCTGAGAGTGTGACTTATAAAAATCGTATCCAACATGCAGGCCTAAAATTAGTCTTAAAATGATGAAAAATACAATTGAAAAGTTAACAACTGGACATTAAGAGGAGCTAAAACAACCCGTCTAACAGTTACTGATGATCTGCCATTCTCTGGACATAATATAAGATACAAATATGAATTAGAGTCCTTGCCCTCAAAGAGTTCAATCTGGTATTGGGGGAGGCCAGAGTGTACACAACCAAAACAGAAACAGGACAAAGCAAAATAAGTGCTATTGTACAGGCATAAAGTTCTGAAGAAGTGCAAAGGAGAAAGGCACCTATGTATTTTCATTGGAGATTTCAGCAAAAATTCTCTCCCATCATGTTTAAACATCTCGGAAGTAAAAAGTTGGTGAATAACTATCATAGTTTCAGAACTGTACTGCTTGGCGAATGAGAAAAACAATTCACTGGTAATTTTGACTCTGTCTAGAAGTGTTGCTGTAATGTAAGCCAGCTTTTTGTTCTTGTCAGATAAATTCTAGAGACCGTGAAAAGTGGCATCATACAGTATTTGCAGTCACTAGAAACAACGTCAGTCCTTTTCTTGTGATAGCGTTGGATGACACCATTCCCTTGGCTACCTGAGCTAACTTTAACCTCACTGTCCTTCCCAGGGAGTTGTTTCCCAGAGTAGTATTAAAAGATTGACAGACTCTTCTTCAGCCCCCACAAACATAATGCAGAAGGCTTCCAAAAGACCAGTGCTAGCATACTATTTCAAAAGGAAGGCACTCCAAAGCTCCATGAGTCAGAAGAATTAACAGGCAGGGACTGGGAGAATCAGAAGTCTAAAGGAGTGCAGGATGAGGCCAAAGGTCCACAGCCCCTTGACAAGATCCTTTGGGGGACTGTCTCTATTACAGTTAACCAGTTGTGCTAAATTTAGGCTAGTTCATCTTAAATCAAAAGAACAAAGCTTTGTCCACCTGAGCCCATGCTCTGAGGGACCAGTGGCCACAATCACTTTAGGGAATGAAGGGAGATGTCCAGGGCTGCTGATGACATATAATAGGGAAGTCTCTGGTCAGAGGTATAATGCTGCACCGACTGCTGCCTGCAAGAGGTCAGAAAATGAGCCTGTAGGCAGGGCTGTCCATTCTTTTGGCTTCCCTGGGCCACATTGTAAGAAGAAATGTCTTGGGCCACACATAAAATACACTAATGACAGCTGATGAGCTAAAAAAATTGCAACAAACAAAACTCAATGTTTTAAGAAAGTTTACAAATTTGTGTTGGGCTGCTTTCAAAGCCATCCTGGGCCGCATGTGGCCCGTGGGCCATGGGTTGGATAAGCTTGTTGTAGAGTTAGTTTCCTAAGCCTTTTCGAGAAAAATGCCAGTTTGAGTCTTAAATATCTTAAGAAAAACATTTTTAAACGGTTATGAGATCTCACACTTGTTTAAGATTTTGGTGAAGAGGGAGATAAAAGGGAGACAGCCAGATTTCATGAAAAATAATTCTTATGTTAGAGATCAGCTACAGGATAATAATGCTGTGTTATACCCTCCAAAGATGGGTTAGTTTTCTGGGGGGCAAATGCAGTCATTTTAGATAAAGATACATGGATTTGGATAGAGGAAGAGAACAGGCATTCTTACCAAGGTAAATGGCAATAAAGCAAAGAGCAGGAAATCAAATGGTCTTTTCAAAGGGTATGGAGTTAATATTGTCTGGGATTGGGAAGGGAGGGGAAGATAAGATGGGACCTTGAAAGCCTGGCTAAGGGAATGTGGAATCTCTCCACACATTTCTGAGGAAGGGAATAATGAAGTCAGCACAGCGTTCGAAGAAAATCAGTCTGGCAGCAATTTAAACCCTGAGCAGAAGAGAGTAGGGGCTGAAAGTTGCAGTGTAACCAGCACCTGTCAAAGGCCAGTTCTGTGTCCGACACTGTACATGCACTGGGTCACTCCATGACCTAAACCCATGAGTCTTCTGTAGAACAGTCTCTTTACCACAATTGTAGGCTGCCTGAACTCAGGCACTAAGAATGTTACCCCTACTTGGTCTAATATTTAGTAACCAGATCCAAATAATTTATTCTCAGCTACCTTTTTGGAACTGAGAAATCGGAAAGATTTCTAGATGTTTTATTGCATTATTTTTTTGAATTGAGCCACAGTATAGTAGGGCAGTAGGTCTTTAAGTGCTCTTTAAACAGCCTCTTGCATCAATGACTCTAGGTAGGAAGTGAGTTAGCCTACATCACCTCCCTAAAATTCTCGGTATATCAAATTTTAGGGTTTGTTCAGTCTTTGATTTTTTGCTTTATTTTAAACCTGTTTTCTGTTGGCCTTCTCCTATGCTTATGTGCCTGTAAAGATTCAAACTGTTCGTTTTGAGAATTCTAGCTTTGTTATATAGAGAGTAAAATATAAACAAGCTTAAACTATCAGAGTTCTGAATAGGTAAATTTACAATGCCTACTCCATTGGCCAGTGTCTCTTTAAAGGGTTTTTAACACCTATTAAAATCATGTTAATGTTGAAATGGCAGTTCTGATGGAGAAAAGCCACTCCAGGATCAGATGATATTATCAGCATCTAAATGAGCCAGGCAGTACTGCAAGGAATTACAGATCACATTATTATCTACATGACAAAATTAGAAGACCTCAGGCAAACCCCATGGGTTCTAATAAAATCAGATTTGACAATATTTATTACAATTTTTTGTTTCTGTCATTCATATAATTGGAAAAGTGAAATAGAGGCAACAGATCAGATAAAGGGTTTTAGATAACAAAAAGTTTGATTGGCCATATTGAATGACAGCTTTAAACAATACTGACAGCTGCTCCCAAGCAGTCTTAGTCAATTGCATTATATTAGAAAAGAGGCTCCAACTTCAGTCCATAGCTAGGGTGGTCAGATCTATACAACAGGAAAAAAACATCAATAAACAAAGTAAATCTCAGACTAAGGTACTAAAAGCCACAATCTCTCAGCATAAGATAGCTGAACAACTCAACCCTGAAGAAGTACATGCCAAAGGTGTGACCTTCAAAACCTGAAAACAAAAGAATAACTTGTTTCAGCCGGGCGCGGTGGCTCAAGCCTGTAATCCCAGCACTTTGGGAGGCCGAGACGGGCGGATCACAAGGTCAGGAGATCGAGACCATCCTGGCTAACACGGTGAAACCCCGTCTCTACTAAAAAATACCAAAAAAAAACTAGCCGGGTGAGGTGGCGGGCGCCTGTGGTCCCAGCTACTCGGGAGGCTGAGGCAGGAGAATGGCATAAACCCGGGAGGCGGAGCTTGCAGTGAGCTGAGATCCGGCCACTGCACTCCAGCCCGGGCGACAGAGCGAGACTCCGTCTCAAAAAAAAAAAAAAAAGAAAAAAAACTTGTTTCAAATCCATTTTCAAAAGTTATCTGCCTTGAAACTCTTCAAAAGAGCATGCCTCGGGTCTTATAAGGCAGTTTCAAAAGGCAGGTCCCAATATTCTAAGTTTGGCTGGCATTGCTCATTTCTTATGTAGACTGATTTGTGATCACACTTTATTATCTCATTTTAGGGAAGAGCCAAAGGATGGCCTTAAAGCTCCTTAAACCAATGTTTTCCAAACCATAGGTTATAAACTATGTTAGAACAGAAAATATTGGAGTTTAGTACGAGTAGGGAATGGGTAAAAACTGTCATGAAACACACTTTCCCCGAAAGGTGGATTGAATTAATGCCTGTGGGGCTTTTTTTTTTTTTTTTTTTTTTTTTAATGGACAGCTAGGAAGGACTATAATTATGGAAACTTCAATTTACAGTGTCCAACAATTGGAAAGTCATTGAATACTGTTTCTTTCAACAGATAGAAACTCTTTGCTTTTATACCTTAAATTCTTTGAGTACAGTAACTTCCTCCTTCTAGAGAAGAAGTGTACTTCTCCCTAGGCCGTACTTTGTGAAAATAAAAGACAACCCAGTTCATTGTTTTCATTATGTTTAATGTAAATACTATGGAAAACATCCATAATTGCTAGGCAACTCCTTTGTGAAAAAAAGTCTGCATGCTTCTAAACTCTGCTACATCTGTTCTGTGTAAAACATTTCTCCTGATAATGTTGTGTTACTTTGCTCAGGCTCCGTGTAGCAGCTGTGCACTGCTAATGACTTCCTTATTAGTTAGCTCCAGTACTTTCTTGGGTTTGAAGCATATAGTATAGAAAAATTTGGCTTTTCAGCAATGTTGTATTAGGCTAATAGATGATGTTTATATCCACGGCCAAGGTAGGATAACAGCATTATTTCTGCTACTGCTATTTTTCCAAAGAAGGATAACTTTTAAAATATTAGAGTTCACAAATAATTTGTCAAGACTGTATATATGAGATATAACCATTAGTTGGGGTATTATTAGGGTTATTTCACCACTGAGTCTTTAAAGTCAGTGCACCCTCACAATGATAAAATGAGGCTGTAAGGCCTCTAAGCATATTGCAAATCATGGTAGAGATTATACTTCTTAAATTCCCTTTCTTTAAGACTCGGGTAAATTTTTTCAACTGTCTAAAGCCTTCCTCTGTTCTGTGCTCCCATCAGAGCTTTATCAGACCTCTTTTCTGTTCATCATGGTTGACTATTTTTTTGAATATTTTTCTCACCCATAGACTGGGTGAGAATATTCAAAAAGAGATATTGTTTAACATCCCAGGGACCACGTCAAAATCGAGAATAAAGTAGATGATTGATGAAATAGTAAAGAATGAAATCTTTATACCTTCACATTCTTCATAAACTTGTTATAAATATATTAATAATTATATCCAAAGTTGGGATTGGGGAGGTAATGGTGGCTGTGGCTAGGGAGTAAGTAAATACTTTATGCCTTTAAATATATATGGTGTTCCTTTGTTTCTAACCTGTGTCTATAATCTTGCTGTTTTCTTCACTAGGAAGTCCAGCGCTGTACTGCTGATATGAACATCACTGCAGAACATTCCAATCATCCAGAAAACAAGCACAAAAACAGATACATCAACATTTTAGCATGTGAGTAATAAACTTTAAACTGTCTTCAACTGCGAGGAAATTAAATTTTCATGCTAGATATAAGCTGAAAGCCAAGCAATCAGAAGCAGGATGCCAAGAAAGAATGGTACTTGCAAGCTAACCTCTCATTAGCCCATCTTCAACAGTGTAGAAGTAGGGACATTTTCTTCCCCCTTAGCCTTTCATTAGGCTGTCAGAGCTCAGAGAGCTTAATAAGGTGACTGAAAGAAAATGTTTGGAGCTTCACTATTTTCACATGAAGCGATGTCATATCAGATGTTGGGAGCCAAAATTTGAATGTCACTTGGTTATATTGACATTGTCTGTAAGGGCCTAATTTTTTACCCCCCACTTAAAAGACCGGTGTGATAGTAAGGGGCCAAATATTTTAATATGAATGAAAATATTGGGAATTGAATCAAGCAAGCTGAATTTCAAAGCATTCTTTCAAAAACTACATAATTGGTTTGTACCTTAAATGATGAGCCTCCAGGCCTTTTGGTCCATGTGCTTACCCCTATCTATCACATTTCCATGGTCAGGAATATTCTGTAGGTTAGGGACTCAAACAAATGGACATTCTTCATACAGAGCCTCAAGGAATACCCTAGGAGCACAAGCTACTTCTATGGCTAGAAGACCACACGTGGGGCTTGGCTCACTGGCATATAATATATGCTTTGATACTAAGGGTAGGGGCATAGATATTTATAGTTAACATATATTATGGTAAGGACTACATTGCAGAGAATTGTATATAATAGTGCATTTAAATTGGACCACTTAAAACTTGAACACTACTGTATAATGTTTTCTTAAAGTTTTAGTGAAATATAATTCACATACCATATGAAATTTACCCATTTAAGGCCGGGCACAGTGGCTCGCACCTGTTTAATCCCAGCACTTTCGGAGGCCGAGGCAGGTGGACCACTTGAGGCCAGGAGTACAAGACCAGCCTGGCCAACATGCCAAAACCCTGTCTACAAAAAATACTAAAGTTGGCCGGGCACGGTGGCTCAGGCCTGTAATCGCAGCACTTTGGGAGGCCGAGGCGGGCGGATCACGAGGTCAAAAGATCGAGACCATCCTGGCTAACACGGTGAAACCCTGTCTCTACTAAAAATACAAAAAATTAGCCAGGTGTGATGGTGGGCGCCTGTAGTCCCAGCTACTCGGGAGGCTGAGGCAGGAGAATGACGTGAACCCAGGAGGCGGAGCTTGCAGTGAGCCGAGATCGTGCCACTGCACTCCAGCCTGGGCGACAGAGAGAGACTCTGGAAAAAAAAAAAATACTAAAGTTAATGCGGTGTGGTGGCATGCGCCTGTAGTCCCAGCTACTGGAGAGGCACAAGAACACAAGAATCACTTGAACCCAGGAGGTAGAGGTTGCTGTGAGCCAAGATTGTGCCACTGCACTCCAGTCTGGGGAGCAGAGCAAGACCTTGTCTCAAAAAAAAGAAAAAAAAATTACCTAAAGAATACAACTCAGTGAGGTTTTAGTATATTCATTCACAGAGTTGTATGATCATCACCACAATCTAATTTTAGAACATTTTTTGCACCTCAGCAAGAAACCTGTTAGCAGGCACTCCCAATTCTTCCTTCTCTCCAGCACTTAAAAACCCTATATCTACTTTCTGTCTCTGTGGTTTTGCATATTCTGGACATTTCATATAAATAGATTCATACTATATGTGACCTTTTGTGTCTGGCTTCTTTAATTTAGCATAATGATTTCAACATTCATCCATGTTGTACCATATATCAGTACTTCATTCCCTTTTATGGCTGAATAATACTCTAATGTGTGGATATACAGGATTTTGTCTGTTCATCATTTGATGGACATTTGTTTATTTTCTGCTTCTCAGCTAGTATGAATGATACTGCTATGAACATTCATGTACAAGTCTTTATGTAGACAGATATTTTCAGTTCTTTTTTGTGTATACCTAGGAGTACAATTGCTAGATTATATGATAATTCTATGTTTAAAATTTTGAGGAACTATCAAACTCTTTTCCAAAGTGGCTATTCATTTTACATTCCCACCAACAATATATAAAGGGTCCAATGTTTCCACATCCTCACCAACTTTTACTGTTTAAAAAAAAAAGAATAACAGCCTTCCTAATGGATATGAAGTGGTATCCTATTATAGTTTTGATTTGCATCTCCCCAGTTATTAGTGATGTTGAGCATCTTTTCATGCTTATTGGTCATTTGTATAACTTGTTTGGAGAAATATCTAATCAGATCCTGTACCATTTTTTAACTGGCTTACTTTTGTCTTTCGTTGAGTTGTAAGACTTCTTTACATATTCTGGATACAGATCATTTATTGAATATACAGTTTGCAACTATTTTCTCATTCTGTGCATTGTCTTTTCACTTTCTTAATGTGAGTTATCTAAATTTGTTCCTCTTTTTCAAGATTGTTTTGGCTATTCTTTCCACAGTTGTTTCTGAACTATACTATTGTGCTGCTTTTGTTAAATTTATTCCTAAGTATTTTATTCCATTTGATGCTAATGTAAATGAAATTGTTTACTTAGTTTTATTTTTGGATTGCTCATTGCTAGTGTATATGAATATAATTGTAGGTTGTATCCTACAACCTTGCTGAATCCATCGTTTCTAGTAGTTATTTTTGGTTGATTCCTTGAATTTCCATATACACGATGTCCTCTATAAACAAAGATAGTTTTACTTCTAAATGAAATGTTACAAAAACTCCAGCTTACTTTTGAATAGGATTGATTGTTCTACTTTTCTGAAAAAATGAACTGGTTTAAAAAGGCAGGGGCGAACAAGGAAGAAAGTCAAACCTCTTCCCAGTCTTTGGATTGACTTTGGCAGTATTTGTCGGCCAACTCACTCAATCAAGGCTCACCACTGCTGTGACTATGAGGATTTGTCTATCCAGATATACCTCCTTTCTAACCAGAGAAATCAGGCAAGGATATATACACATCTGTGCCTTATACATACATACACACACACACACCATTCTCTCCACCACAGTATCCTTTACTTCGAATGGCAAACATTACTTACTGCCTTGGTAAAAGTATTGTGGCAGAAAAGGAGGAGAAAATCAAAGCAACTAATGTGTGATGTGCCCAAAGGTCATGGTGTTTTGCTAGAAAACCATCATCTCTGGTTAAATGTGAACTGCACTTCCACAACTTCATTTGTGATTTTACTTTCACAATTTCAAATTAGATGTAATTTTATTTTTAAACATTCAGGGAGTTAGGTTTTGGTGTTCTCTTGGCCACTCAGATTCTGGGCACATTGCCTGCCTTCATCTACCCCTATATTAATGCCTTTATATAGCTAAGAATAGCATAGAAATATAATAGAAACAAGTAAAATCAGACTGTGAATGAGCCAGACACATGATGTATGAAAAACCTTCTCTCAGATTCATCACAACTTTCAAGGTATATGTGGGTGTCACCAAATCACCTCCAAAATTGATCTATTAATGTCTTATTTGTCAGTCTAAGAAATAACAATATACAGCTAATGGCTACTAAGGCATAACAGTTTGGATCCAGATGCCTTAGGAGAAATTTTTCCTTTGGGGCCTGTTTATATCAAGCAACACCTGTTTCATGTCAACTCTAAACTGAAAGTTTGTCAGAACAACAAAAGCAGTTCACAGTTCCAAAAACATAGAGGGCTCTCAAAAATTGCTTGATATATTCTGAGGTCAGTAATGCCTATGCTGATCCACTCATTGGACTTCTTTTTCAACTAGACTTTTATGATAATGACTATAAACAGAAACATAAATTGGGTTTTGCCCATTCTGTTTCTACCTAGGGAAAATTATGACCTCAGCTTCCTTCTACTTATTTTGCTATCCTAAAAAAAGCAAGCTCACTCTGTTGGGCAACTAGATACACATATCATGCATCACCTCCCTACCAACTTTTGTTCATTAACTGAGGTTGAGTGGATCCTAAAATCTGAACATTAACTTCAGATTCCTATAATGCGATTACTCTTAACAAAAGCTCTGGTTTCCTCAATTACTTAGGTTCTGTCAGGGTAGCAGGTAATTCAAGTGAATTAGCAATGGAATTGCCTGAAACTATTAATACATGTTTTGGACTTAATAGATCAGTCACCCTTTTATATTTGTATTAATGGGGAGGGAACACGGGCATAGGGCATAATCAAAGCCCTTTGAACTTGGCTTTAAAATGCAGAACAAGCAAATACCTTTGAACTTGGCTTTAAAATATAGAATAAGGAAATTTTGGAGGACTACAATTTGAAATGGTTTTACATGAGTTTGCATTCTAAGAGCAGGAGATGTAGGAGTGGCTCTATATTTTGGGATGGGTTTGCTCTATTTAGTTGTTCTGCCAAAAGTTTTCTCAGACTACCTTGGGAGATGTCATGTTACCTGATTGCCTTGTGTTGTGCTTGAGAATGGTGCTAGTCTCTGAATTACACATTTTATTTCTGCTTTTTTTTCTTATCTTCTATAGATGATCACAGTAGGGTGAAGTTAAGACCTTTACCAGGAAAAGACTCTAAGCACAGCGACTACATTAATGCAAACTATGTTGATGTAAGTCAGAACTGTTATTATAAACCTGTTTCTGGAAATTGAAGACTGCAGCAGAAACTGTTTAATGTATTTTAATACTGTACAGAGCTTTCACTAAAAACAAAGCCCATTCAATATGGAAAGCATTTGAATTATTTACTGGTCTTCTGTGATAACAGCTTTCATCTTACTTTGTGCTGTGTCATTTTGAAGGGTTACAACAAAGCAAAAGCCTACATTGCCACCCAAGGACCTTTGAAGTCTACATTTGAAGATTTCTGGAGGATGATTTGGGAACAAAACACTGGAATCATTGTGATGATTACGAACCTTGTGGAAAAAGGAAGAGTAAGAGCCTCTTGACTCACTACCTTAATAATGCACCTTCATTCAAACAATACTTGTGGAATACTTGCTTTAGGGTAGGAACTTAACAAGGTATAAAGAGCTACGGAAATTAAAAGTGTTCTTTCTGCTCTACCTTGCTTATGATTCAGTAGGAAAGAGAGCTTAAGGCATTATAAGAGTAAATGTGATGATAGAGATGAGTGGAATGCTACAAAATGAATCAATGTATCCTCTGTATATTCCTCTGTACAGAGATTTTTTAAAGGAGCTAATACTTGAACAATGATTAGGAGGAATTACACGGGCTAAAAAGAGAAGGAAAGGGTGTTCTAAGTACAGGGGACAGACAGAACAGTAAACAGGGAAGTTGAAAGAAGCATGGTGTAAACAAGGAACTACTAATAGTTAAGATTGGCAGAAGCAAAAATTGCCTAAACAGTTTGACCATCATTAAGAGGACCTTTTTAAAAAATGATTAATGCTGTAGAATTTATTGGATTATGAGTTTACATTAGATGATGCTAATTTAGGCTGGAATAAAAGCTACACTTCAAGGAATCACCACACTGGGTTGACAGGTGCAGCCAACCACTATGGCACACGATTACCTATGTAACAAACCTGCACATCTTGCACATGTACCCCAAAACTAAAAATTAAAAATTAAAAACAAAAAAATAGATAAGTAAAAGAAGCTACGCTTCAGGTTCCCTGCTCAAAATCACCACTGCTTCATGTTGTAGAGTCCCTGTTTTATTTTTGGTGATCCAAGTTACAACTAGAAGAGTCTCACAGTTAGAAGAGAACCTTCCATGAATCCAACCCAGCCTTCCAGCCTTCCAAATGATACTTAAGCTCCCTTTATAACAAACCCTACCCACATTTCTTACAGGTCAGACATAGAGGTTTCTTTCTTGGTCCCTTTTAAAAATGCATTATATATTGAAAGGTGATCATAAATACTACGCCCATTTCTCACATGGTCTTACACAAACTTATCCCAAGCCATCAGCCTTGTCAGAGGTCACACCTGCCTTTAAGCAGTTCAACTCATGTATTCCTTTTTCAGTCAAATGGCAATCTCACCTGTGTTTTAACATTGTCGTTTGAAATTACATTATCAATAGAATTGTGACATAGATTGCAGTTATACTTTACAACTTTTTTCTTTCTGCAGCGAAAATGTGATCAGTATTGGCCAACAGAGAATAGTGAGGAGTATGGAAACATTATTGTCACGCTGAAGAGCACAAAAGTACATGCCTGCTACACTGTTCGTCGTTTTTCAGTCAGAAATACAAAAGTGAAAAAGGTATGGAATGAATTGGGTAGGCTGTCAGGACATCTCCTTTTTATGCTTGTATGAAAATTACTGTACAACCAAGGCCAAATCTCGTAACAAACTTTGTTTCTAAAAAGTATTTTTAAAACATTTTTTCATAACTCTTTTGATTGACATCAGTGTATGGTGTGAAAGGTATTGGCAAAGCATATAATAGAATTTAACTGGCCTGATTGAGCTAATCTTTAATCTCTACATGAACAGCCTTCATTTAAAAAAAAAAATCATACTCTTAGGTTTTGGTAATACTCAGCATATATGGCAGCATCTGTTTGATTTAGCTTTTTTATTCCAATTTTCTGACAGATATAAAGCATTGTTTCCCAAAGTGTGTTCCAAGGAATACTTGTCCTGTAAGATTCTTGTAAACAGCAGATTCTGCTGTTCAAGAATGGGAAATGAATGCTACATAATATATATCTCACCACCATTTTAGAAATTTACAGCGAACATAAGTGACCAGAGCACTGATGTTAACAATAATACCTTTTTCTATAGAATTACTAATACCCTGAGAATCACATTTTGTGGAAATACTGTTTTCAGGTTATCTCAGTTTCTTTTTCAAAATCCACTGTGACAACAAATATCCTAGATCGATCATCATAGCAGTACAGCAATCCCCCTTAATTGTGGAAGGTATATTTCAAGACCCCCCAGTGGATGCTTGAAACCTCAGGTAGTACTGAAGCCTATTTATACAATGTATTTTCCTATACATACATATCTATGATAAAATTTAATTTATAAATTAGGCACAGCAAGAGATTAACAACAATACTGAAACAGAACAATAATAATCTGTAATAAAAGTTATATGAATATATACTGTTTCTCTTAAAATACTGTAATATTTTTGGACTGTGACTGACCTCAGGAATGTGAAACTGCATCTAAGGAGGAACTACTGTATTAAGAACTATAAATAGATGTTCATTAAAAATGTAGTTATTCCTCAGAACGTAGGTATGGCAGTTGTTTGCAGCAATGGGATAATTTTTTTTTCTTGGTGTCTTGGACATTTTGGAAAATGTGATAAAACTGTAGCCTCCTTGCCCCATTTATATTCACACTTACTCACATTTTTATATAAAATTTCAGTGGCTCCAAAGCCCATCTGTTATCCCAGGTTAACAGTCCTTTCTATGTATATTTATTTCCCAAAATGGCAGAAATAACATGAATATCAGTAGCATAGCAATACATCTGTATTCTCTATTATGAAATAGAGCTGCTGGCTGGCTCAAGATGATCAATAACAGCATAAAACTTATAAAGCCCAACTGATGGGAATATTTCAGGTATTTAAACAGGGCCCACTTACTCTTGTTTTAGAAACAGCTTAAGTCAGAGGAAGAAGTCAAATAGGAACTTTAGGTGTTTTACAAACTAACAGGAAAAAGTAGAAAAATGAGAGTTAACAAAAGAATTAAATTAAAGCCATCATGGGCCTTTGTACAACAGCACAGGACCAGACACCCTTCAAGCTTCAATGTTGATTAATGACCCTGAGTCATCCAAAATTTAGAAATTATAGAGGTATTGATAATAAATCGTATCATAGCAAGTAATCTATTTGGGGAAATATTTCATCTAAAGTAGTTAAAATGTAAAAAGTTCAGACAAAGGAAAACTACTCTGAAAAAGTCATTTATGAAAGTGACACATAAATGAGACATTGCCTCTGACTCTAAAGACAGAAGTATTTGACACTTAAAATCTTCCCATCGCTTCCTGGATAGTTTACAGCATCAATCAGCACTCTGGCTCCTAAAGGTCCAGCCTGGACAGTGGAGAAGGAATCAAAATCATAGCCTACAGAGACATGAAAGCAAAGTACTAAGATCTGAAGTTGGGGGCAGAAAATCAGGAAATGGAGGCCTTGCAGGAAAATTAAAAGTGCTTTGGATAGTTCTAAATCCAAAAAAACATGATACTAAATACTATTCATTCATTCTTAGTACAATCTTAAACAGTCTTCTCTTCTAAGTGATAGTGACAGTTCATATCCAGCTTGGTAAAGTCTCCATTTAATGGCATGAAAGTTGGCTACAAGAGGGAATAAACTAGCCTGGGAACAGTGATTAGGGTGAATGTGATCAGTGGTCATGTATCCGGACACCCTTACATTATTTTTTTCCAGAATGTCCACCCCTCACCTTAAAGACATCTTTTTTCACTTTTCTCATAGGGTCAGAAGGGAAATCCCAAGGGTCGTCAGAATGAAAGGATAGTGATCCAGTATCACTATACGCAGTGGCCTGACATGGGAGTTCCCGAGTATGCCCTTCCAGTACTGACTTTCGTGAGGAGATCCTCAGCAGCTCGGATGCCAGAAATGGGCCCTGTGTTGGTGCACTGCAGGTAGGGCCTGGGATTCAACATGTGAAACAGATGGGGCAGGGGACTTAGGCCTCAGTGACCTTGGATCACAATGACTGCTACTGTTTTCACTTAGAAGCTGAATCTTCCACTGGAAACTGGGATGGGTAAGACCTGCCATAGTCTTAAAGAAGCTGTATTCCTGTAACATTAAGAAATCATCTGCTGCTTCTGTGATTTTTTAAAAACTAGATCCTAGTTTTTATAAAATCATCTTATTAATAATATCAGCCAGGCGTGGAGGCCAACACCTGTAATTCCAGCACTTTGGGAGGCTGAGGTGGGAGGATCGCTTGAGCCCAGGAATTTGAGACCAGCCTGGGCAACAAAGTGAGACCCCATTTTTACAAAAAATAAAAGTGAAAAAATTAGCCAGCATGGTGGCACACGTCTGTGGTCCCAGCTACATGGGAGGCTGAGATAGAAGGATCCCTTGAGCCCAGTAGGTCAAGGCTGCAGTGAGCTGTGTTCATGTAACTGCACTCCAGCCTGGGTGATAGAGCAAGACCCTGACCCAAAAAAAAAAAAAAAATTACAAAATCCCCATTGTTTATAGGAAAAGTGTAGCCTGATCCTAATAAATAAAAATAATTACCTTAAGCACAAGAACTTTCCACACTACAATAGACATTGTGTTTTTGTAAATGGCTTTTCTGAAAGGTTCTTCTAAGTAACAATATTTATAGTATATATGAAAAGATTTCATTTTTAAATTTTTAGTTTATATGTTCCATATAAAATACCTTTTCAAAAGCACTGGGAAATCCTTGTATAAAGCTTGTTTTCTGTCAGCTACACTAAATGACTTTAGTTGGTTGTTTAAAAATACTTTTATTCTATTTCATTTGCAAATGCATTCTTGCCTCTTTTTTGTTTGTTTGTTTTAAACTTTGGTACTCAAATAGATGTCGCTTGTTCGGTGATTTACGTTGCAATGCTAAATGAATAACATGTCACCTATACTAGGTTATCTAAGTGGGGTTTAGGCTGGGCATGGTGGCTCACACCTGTAATCCCAGCAGTTTGGGAGGCCAAAGTGGGCGGCACCTGAGGTTAGGCGTTCGATACCAGCCTGGCCAACATGGTGAAACCTCTACTAAAGATAAAAAATTAGTCGGGTGTAGTGGTACACATCTGTAATCCCAGCTACTCGGGAGGCCGAGGCTCAAGAATTGCTTGAACCGGGAGGCAGAGGTTGCAGTGAACCGAGATTGCACCACTGCACTCCAGCCTGGGCAACAGAGTGAGACTCTGTCTCAAAAAAATTATAAAATAAATGGGGTTTAGATGGTAATTTTTCGAATCCAAAGTTAACAGTATGATAAAACAAAAGTGCCAGTTGAGTGTCTTCATTTCTTACAGCGCTGGTGTGGGCAGAACAGGCACCTATATTGTAATAGACAGCATGCTGCAACAGATAAAAGACAAAAGCACAGTTAATGTCCTGGGATTCCTGAAGCATATCAGGACACAGCGTAACTACCTCGTCCAGACTGAGGTAAGGAGTAGCTGCCAACGTCCTCATGAGATTCTGGCAAATGCTGTAACTGAAATTTGTTAAATGATAGTGAAGAGACAGATTCATTCTTTTAGGGCTTGCAGTAATTTACAGGTTTGTATTAGAAGACATTCTGACCATGATACTATTCTATGGATCATAGTTTTCTATTTCTGTATGGATCTTAACATTGGGATTCCTAAATAACTACACAAGTACTTATGAAACAGGTACAGTTGTTTCAAGAGCTGTGTTAGATGGTAGGGGAAGTTAAACATGTTGTCTGGCCTGAGAAATACATAGGAGAGGATGGTTCTAAAACCATTCATTGAACACAATTTCTTGATTGCTTATTGAGTAGAAGCAATAAGCACAGTATAGAATACCGTGATCCAGGCACAGTATAGAATACAGAGCTAAACTTAACACAGTCTCTACTGTAAAGTAAGTTTGGATTGATACAGTGAGTATTGGAGCAAATCACCTAGCTGTAAGTTCTTGAAGGAATTCACTGGGAGGTCCCTGTTAGGGGCAGAATTAAACAAAGGTACACTTCATGAATGACTGGCTAAACCTTAACTCTCCCTCAGTGACTACCATGTATTGTACCTCTTAGGAGCAGTACATTTTCATCCATGATGCCTTGTTGGAAGCCATTCTTGGAAAGGAGACTGAAGTATCTTCAAATCAGCTGCACAGCTATGTTAACAGCATCCTTATACCAGGAGTAGGAGGAAAGACACGACTGGAAAAGCAATTCAAGGTAGTGCTTTGAATAAGTTTCTTTGGCATAAAGCAAGGAAATGTTTTAAATGCCTTGAGTTTGGGGGTTATGTCTTCTTTGCATTAATCTATACACTGAAATGGATTACTGTTTGTACTCATTGTACTCCTTAAATGTGATGCAAAAGAAAATACGATTTTGACCATGTATGAATTGTTGGTGTTCAAGTAGATATACAGTGTTGTATTTTCTTCTGAGCAATTTATTACTTTATCTGAACATAAACATCAGCCCCTGGCCATAATAACATAGTACTTTAGAGTCACTCATTTAGTCCAAAAAATATCCTCTGTATTTTTTCTGAACTAATCTATCTTACCTTAATTATTAAGAATGATTACTTGTAGACATATTGTCCTAAAAATATGCCTATTTCAAAAACTATTTCAGAAGATAATTTAGAAATTTCAAAAGAATTACTAAACAATACTAGAGAAAAGTTAACTTTTCCTAAATGGTTGTTCTTTTTCTTTGATAGGGACATGAAGAAGCTTAAAAGCTGTTAAGGTTTATATGGAATTGACTGAAGTGAAGGTGAAAAAGAGAGATTATAAGGACTATTAAAATAATTAAGGCTCAGTCATCTGATAAACAAATCAAAGTTGCTTCTAACTTTGAAACATTGCCTCTCCAGTTACCAAGTGCTTTCCTATTTATCTTTGTCTTTTAAATTCTATTTTGCACATTGTTCTGTATGTAAATAGTTTCTCCCTTTGTATCAAGATTCAAAGAATGAGATGAATCTACAGTTTTAGTTTTCATGGTAAAACTTTCCATAGACTCTGAAACTTTCATCTGAATCTCAGCTGAAGAAATGAGACTGCCAAGCAAATTATACCAAGTGATATGAAATGAAAAATAGTTTAATTTCACTGACTTCAATCATAAAAGTAATTTAACATTTTTAGCTCCCGATTAACATTCTAACTACTATAAAACCATGAGGTAATTAATAATGAGGACACAGTGTATCATTGTAAATGTTTAACATGAATTCTTACAAAATATTAAGTACCAACATTTCTTACATTCTGCCTTTTTCATTTCTTCAATTTTTTTTATACATACTTTAAAACTTCATTTAAGAAATGCGGCTGGGCATGGTGGCTCACACCTGTAATCCCAGCACTTTGGGAGGCCGAGGTGGGCGGATCACGAGGTCAGGAGATTGAGACCATCCTGGCTAACACGGTGAAACCCCATCTCTACTAAAAATATAATAAATTAGCTGGGCGTGGTGGTGGGCGTCTGTAGTCCCAGCTACTCGGGAGGCTGAGGCAGGAGAATGGCGTGAACCTGGTAGGCGGAGCTTGCAGTGAGCCAAGATCACGATACTGCACTCCAGCCTGGGCGACAGAGCAAGACTCCATCTTAAAAAAAAAAAAAGAAATGCGACCAGGTAGTTGGTTCTTTTACAGGCACTAACCATTTTAGAGCTCAAGATGAAGAAGAAAAGAATCAAATTTGAAAATGAAAATTATATCCAGGGACCATGAGTTTTACTAAAGCATCTGGAGGAGAACACTGATCTCATGTACTCCATTAAGATGGATGCCAGCCCCCCAAAAAATAGGATTGACAAAATAGTTCAACCAAGCTACATAAACAGGAATAATAACCAAACTACTGGGCTGGTTACTTATAACAGCCTCAGAACAATGTTAGTTCAGTTCAACAGAAATGCACTGAGAACTAGTTAAGTACTCCTTTATCTTCAAGAAACATGATTAGCTCATAATAAATAGCATTAGGCAATCTTTTTTAATGTAGACTCACTTGGGTCTTTTATGCCAGTGAGTAATCACAGAAAAAAATTCACAGCAGCAGTGACATCATATAACAGAAGAATCCACATAGTTCTATAAATATCTATTGCACACAGCACCTGTTTAGGGCCTGATAGTAGAAATAAGAAAGATGCAATCAAGGTCACTGAGAGAAGTACCACTAGGAAAGCACAAGAGTGTTCTCTGGGGCTGGGCATGGTAGATTACACCTGTACTCCCAGAGCAGCCTGGGCAACACAGGAAGACCCCAATTCTATAAGCAATTTTAAAAATTAGCTGGTTGTGCTGATGATGCACCTGTGGTCCTAGCTACTCAGGAAGCTGAGGTGGGAGGATCACAGTTACAGTGAGCTACGATCATGCCACTGCACTCCAGCCTGGGCAAGAGAGCAAGACCCTGTGTCTTAAAAGGTTCTTTGTGGCACAAAAATGGTCTTGTTTATCAGTAATCTGCTTGGGATTTTTGCCAAAGCATCAAGCAAATGCTATCAATTGTATCTTTGAATGAAGACTAAAATGTTTTTTCTTTTTCAGTTGGTCACACAATGTAATGCAAAATATGTGGAATGTTTTAGTGCTCAGAAAGAGTGTAACAAAGAAAAGAACAGAAACTCTTCAGTTGTGCCATGTAAGCCTTTAAAATCAGTTTGTTAGTGATCTTTTATACTGGATTGTATGTTATGTACAGAGACAGCCACTACTCTGATGCACCCTGCAATTGTACTGTACGTGGCTATATGGTAGAAGGTTTTGAAAATGTCCTTTTAGTAACCTCATTAATATATGACTTTATACCAGCCTCTTACCTGGTACTACCAAAAGGGAAAATGTTATGCTTATTCAACTAAGGTAGTTTAATGAAACTGGGAGAGGTGGCTATCAGTGTCAGCAAGTTGCTGCATCTATCTGACATAGAATACAGCTTCGTTTCACCTTGGAATGTAAGAATTGGGTCACTTCTACAATATTATAACATAAAAAATAATAATAAAGCTGTACTTGCTGTGGCATTAACATTCCTTTACAACTTAGAATCCTGGATTAATCTATACAACTAGAACCACATTATTCAGTTACTGTGGCTATTGAGATCAAGGCACTGTTGACTGGGGGTGACCTTTGTATAAATAACTAAGGACACAGCTGTCTGCGTGCCGTAGACATAGACATGGGTGATCATTGGGGAGATTTATCTGTAATGAAAAAGGCCTCTAAGACCATCGTGGGCAGAAAAAGGGGTAGACATCGTAGGCAGACATGGAGAAAGGGGTTGGTAAAAGGGCAGAGTATATGTTGGTATAATTGTAGGAATAACAAATTAGAGTCAAAAGTTATCTAAAACCCTATGTCATGTCCATATAAAGTATTCTGTTACTGATCTGCTGTAAAAATCTCTCCCACAGTAAAACTGTATTCCTACAATGCCTGGGTCCTTCTGGGTATGTGCAGCAAAATTTCATTTTACATTCTGCCTCAGCTGATAACACTTGAGCTTGTTTAAAAATATAGATAAGTCTTAGAAAGGGAAGCCAGGAGGATATGTTATTCATCAAGCAAATCTCAGAAAGAGCTGTTGGTTCTGTGTGTATAATAAGGCAAATGTGGTGTTTTTGTTTTTTCCATATGATAGCTGAGCGTGCTCGAGTGGGTCTTGCACCATTGCCTGGAATGAAAGGAACAGATTACATTAATGCTTCTTATATCATGGTGAGAGTCAACAGTTAATTATAAATAAAGTCAATTAAACTGAAAGGTGTTAAAGAGCAGATACCACCTGTGTGACTGATGTCATTTTTGAAATAATTTCTCAATGTGTAATACGAAAAGTAGAGAGATTTCTGTATCTGGAAACTTTTTGGGGGTACAAAAATGCTTAAATTAAGCAGAATGCTTCTTCAGGAATTAATTTTATTAATTTCACACATCTAGTCTTTGAATAAATGTTGAAATTTCTGTTAAGTGAAAACAGCAGGGGTAACTAGAAGTGAACTGCACATGGAGAGAAATTTGTCTGCACAATGCTTGCAGAAGTACATCTAAAAATTAGCCAAATGTACTGAATGCCTTTCTCAATTATTTTAGTGTAGTCAAAACAATGCTATCTTATTTCACAAATATATTTTACTACCACAAAGTTAAAATAAAACATTCATATTCACTGATTTTTTTTTTTTGTCTTCCCAACTGAAGGGCTATTATAGGAGCAATGAATTTATTATAACTCAGCATCCTCTGCCACATACTACGAAAGATTTCTGGCGAATGATTTGGGATCATAACGCACAGATCATTGTCATGCTGCCAGACAACCAGAGCTTGGTAAGTAAAGCACATCTGCTATATATTAATGAGCCCATGAGGCTACAAGCATAAATTACTCTGATACTTTGCCATAGGGCTATAGTAACCATATATGCTAGGGAGGGAATTTAAAATTTTTAAATTCTCATCTTGAAGTCTATAGAGACTCCTTTCATATTCTCACAATACTGTCCCTATCAGTATCCCATTACTTGATTCTCTGATGCTACTGATATCACCCTTCAATTATACTGTCTGTGGTGGTATGGTAGAAGGTTTTGAAAATGTTTTTAGTAACCTCATTAATGTATGACTACACTAACCTCTTACCTGCTGTATGTCACTTTTGAAAAGTAAATAATTGTAGCTTACAGGTACTGAGTATGTAACTGTGTTTACATGTATTAACTTGTTTAATCCTCAACAATTTTAAGACATACATACTATTATTGTTTCACATAATAGCTGAGAAAACTGAGGGAACAAACTTGCTCAAGAGCACACACAAGTAACTGGAGCCAGGATTTCAACCTGAGTCATCTGTCTCCAGAGACCATGCTTATAATCATTTTGCTGTATATCCTACCCCAAAATATTGTGTCAAAAGTACTAATAATGTATCTTTTTTTCCCATTCCATAGGCAAGTCAGATCTACTGCAGGGATAGGCTATTTTGTTCCAACTTAAAAGTCTTTAAGACTAAGCTGCTACCACTTTCCCCTCCCGTAGTCCTTCTCTATTTCAGTCTCTAAACTATACAGAAGGTTTGTAAAACAGACTTAAACGTTTCTGCTTTGATCTTGTGGATACTTAAGTTTCAGAATTAGCTGGGTCTATAAAAGTTACTATGTGGACATGTGAACCCATAAGGTAAAAACAGAAAACATTGAGGATCTGCCTTTATGATAGTCAGATTAATGAGTTTTTTAATCAAAGAAGAACAGCATGTGACTGAACCCCCAGTCTTGGTGACATGCATTTGACTGTGTGCCCAGTCAGTAGGAACTTCTTCACTTTGTCGCATTTTGCTCCAGCTTCAGGATACCAAAACTGCTTCTGTATGATGGAATGGCAACAAAGTTGAGAATCTTAAACTAAAAGCTGGAGTGTAAATTTTCAAATTAGCTGGCAATAGGGTCTATTCTGTTTGGCATGTGGAAATTGGAGGCACTTAGGGTTGTTAAAACGTTCATTTGTTGGATGAATCAGTATTTTGTTATTGTCACTTAACAGAGGGCAATCACCATAAAGCATCTACTCAGCAGCTCATTTGTATGGGGAGGCTGGGAGAAGACTGGACCAAATAAGTGGATACATGTTCTGCAGACACTGAGGATATAGGAACATGCCATCTCAGTGTCTCTCTGAGGCCTCGGAAGGCTAGATTAGAATCATATACAACTGACCTCTCAGTTCTGAGATGGAGAGTTTCATCATTGCACAGTTTTTCCTAAAGACTGATATCTCTGAGTTCTTTTTGTTTGTTGTATTATTACTGCTATACCTTTACCAGATCATAATTCTGTAAGGAGCCCAAAAGTCACTGCTTTCTAACTCACAAAGTACTCACAAAGTACAAAGATGCCCAGATATCTTTGACCTATAAATATAGTTGTAAGCAAAACAGTCATGAGACCAGTGTGCCTGCTAAATTAAGAAGTAGCATTTATTTTTCTTAGACTTTCAAGATGAAACATTTTTTCTACCTTTCTTCTACCATAACTCAAATCCCTTTGGTAGCCTTTAAGCTAGTTAATTTACTATTCATGTTATCATCATAGTATTTCTTTAAGGTAAGTAGTTTTTATTCCCACTTTCCAGATATGGAAATTAAGGTTCAGATTAATTTACCCAGGATTACATCCACTAATAAATCCTGTGCTTAATCTGTGCATATTTGTTACATTTAGATGCCCTGTTCATTACCTTATATCTTTAATATCAGTGTCCTTGGACAAAACCTGTTAAAACCCACGACAGTTACAGACTTCTTTTGTATAGACTAAACCCAGTTGCTAATCTGTTTCCCCTTATGCTGAGCTTTAAAAATAAAAATGTACTTGGCAATAAGCTATATTGAAACTTGAAAGGGTGATAAGTCTTATTGGACTGTTGGCTCATTTCTAATGCAACAATGTAAGATTAAACAAAGCCTTCTTTGTTTTGAACATTATTCAGAATTATTTCTGACTTCAATGATAGTAGGTAGGCATCTTCAGGAAAATGCCCCATAGGAACCTATATACTACAGGAAAACTACAGTTTGCTATTTGAGCTGATTAGGATACGTGGTGTACATCATAATCATATTTCTCACAGTCTCCAACCTATGCAACAATTAACTTTCTCTTAGGCACCCATAGTTTTTAGGGACAGAATTCAAGTACCAAGCCTGCATATCTATTTTTAATCTTAAAATGGATGAACATTTAAAGCATGCCTGATTCAAGGCTGAAAGACTTTCTATGTTATCCCCTCTTGAAATATAACATTGACAGATTTACTTTTCTTTTAAAACTGCCTTGTACATACAGCCAACCTACTTACTCACACACAATGTTCCAAAAAAGTTCTATCCCTTGCCATTTATTAGCTGTGTGATTTTAGATAATTTATGGACCCTCTCCCCAAAGCCTTGTGTCTTCATCTGTAAAGACAGATGATAAAAAATCTCCTCAGGGTTAATATACAAAATTTGTACAGAACTCATACAACTCAATCATGAAATACCTGATTTTAAAATGGGCGAAAGACCTGAATAGACATTTCTCCAAAGAAGACATAAAGATGGTTCCAACTGGTATATGAAAAGGTGCTCAACCTCATTAACTTTCAGGGAAATGCAAATCAAAATACCTCACACCCACTAGGATAGTTATTTTAAAAAATCAAAAGATACCAAAAGCTGGTGAGGGTAACAAAGAAAACTCTCACACACTGTTGATGGGATTGTAGATTGGTAGAGCCATGATGGAAAACTGTCTGGAGGTTTCTAAATAAGTTAAAAATAGAACTACCATAAGATCCAGCAGTCCTTCTTGTGGGCATGTACCCAAAGGAAGTGAAATCAACACCTTGTAAAGATATTTGCACTCCCCTGTTCACTGCAGCCTTATTAGCAATCGCCAAGCTATGGAAACAACCTAAGTTTCCATCAACAGATAAATGGATAAAGAAATTGTGGGGTAGGGAGGAAATGGGAAGACGTAAAATAAATCAAGAGGATACAAAACAACAGATGAGGAAGAACAAGTTTAGAGATCTCATGTCCAACATGAGGACTACAGGTAACAAAACTGCACTATATTTGGGAATCATGCCAATATTGAGTACATTTTAGCTCTTCCTGCCACAAAAACGAAAGTGAGATGATGGGTATGTTAATTTGCTCCTAACTATAGTAACCTTTTTACTATCTGTATGTATCCGACATCATACTAAAAATATACAAGAAAACTTACAATGTTTATGAAAGTCCTTTGCAAAATGCAGTTCAACTACAGAATTATTAACATAATCCACAGGAAATAATTAGCATGTCTTGATTGCTTAAGCAATTGTGAAATAACAAAATTAATTGACCTAGATCCTGCTTCCTTTTTTACTATGTCAATATTACAGAATACTTTTCAACTGTAGTAAGTCCCCCATAGTGGGAGTGTTTCAGGTTGCTACACTAACAGGTGAGAGGTGCTAGAAAATGATTATCAAAATATATTTTACAATAAAATAACCATTCAACTTGGTATAATTAGATGGGAACATATAACTCTATGAATTCAGTTTAAAAGAAGGCTTGAGAGGTATGGGAAATGACAAAATCAGTATGCAAGAAATAAAAAACAAATGCTTGACAGAACTGCAGAGGCTTTTTTGTTTGTTTGTTTTTGTTTCCCAAAGGCAGAAGATGAGTTTGTGTATTGGCCAAGTCGAGAAGAATCCATGAACTGTGAGGCCTTTACCGTCACCCTTATCAGCAAAGACAGACTGTGCCTCTCTAATGAAGAACAAATTATCATCCATGACTTTATCCTTGAAGCTACACAGGTAACCTAAACCTCAGTTCCTCACTAATAGCCATACCTGGGCCCTGGATCATCATTCTAAATAATAATGAAATAATTTACCACCCTCAAGCCAGGCTCAGGCATTTAAGTAAGACTTAATTTTAAATATTTACATTTTCCTTTTTTCTTCCTTCAAATATTTGCTTTTTCCAGCTGGCTAGATGAAATGTAACAGTTCCTCCGATTCAGCATGCATACAAATAGGTCTGTTGACCTAATTATAAAAACAATATACTAGAGCTCAATATTTTCTTTGCCATCAGAAATGTAAGCTTTGCAATGTGTTGCAGAGATGATAATACCAAGTTTTTTAAGTAAATATTTTGCTGCCTTCTTGTGGGATAAGGTTGGGGGGGCTCTTATACCAGTAATTTAAAGGATGAGCCCCTTCCTTGTTTTCCTTTAATGTTATAAATAAGAAAATAGAGTAGCATATAAGGTCTTTAATAATTTATTGTCACTTGAAATTTTTGACTAAGCCAAATGAAATTGTTTCACTAGCATGACCTACTTGGATGTTTGTCTTGAGACAGGGTCTCACTCACAGTGGCATCATCAAAGCTCAAACTCCTGGGCTCACGTGATCCTTTCACATCAGCCTCCCGAATAGCAAAGACTAAGGCACATGCCACATGACTGGTTTTTTTAAATTTTTTAGAGACAGGTCTCCCTGTGTTGCCCAGGTGGGTCTTGAACTCCTGGCCACCTTGGCCTCCCAAAGTGCTGAATTACAGGCATGAACCACTATGCCTAGCCATGCTTTTTTTTTTTTTTTTTAAAAAAAAAAAAAAAAAAAAAAGCAAGCAAGCAAGCAAACCTTCTTGGCATTTTTCTTCTTTCCAACTGTGGTTTGGTCAACACACCATTGTTGAGAGTTACCTATAACACATGCTTTCTCAGGAGCAAGTTCTAGTCATTAGATTGTAGATATGTGAAATAAAGGAAGGGATTTGACTCATGTTGTATTGGTTACAGGATGACTATGTCTTAGAAGTTCGGCACTTTCAGTGTCCCAAATGGCCTAACCCAGATGCCCCCATAAGCAGTACCTTTGAACTTATCAACGTCATCAAGGAAGAGGCCTTAACAAGGGATGGTCCCACCATTGTTCATGATGAGTATGTATCTGTTTCTTAATTTTAAAATGTAGACAGTTTTTTTTGTTTAAGTTCTTGTTGAAAGCAGTAGAAAAGGAAGCCAGAATTTTAAAACCTATCTATCACCTCAGCTTGTGACAACTCCATGTTATTTCTAATGTGGACATGTACAAAGTGTTGTTGCTCTGTTTACATTGTCATATGTCAAACTCTTCCAAGACTCCCAGGTTCTTCTAGAGTATATGGTCGAGAAAGGGGGGAGTATTATATCTTAGCCTACAGAAGTAGACCTGCATGCATTTAGAGGTTTTATGTGTTAGTAACAAATGAGTAAATTAATAACTGTTTACATTAATTAAATAATTTTTTAAAATCCTTACACTGAATTTCAAACACTTGTTAGGGAAATAACCTTTTAAAATATGACTTAGTTGATGAGTCGAGATAAAACTAGTAGTATTAATGATAATATTTAAAGTTCATGATGTGTTTTAAAGTCTACAGTACTGTCTTTTGGGATTTAAAGATAAGGAATATGAATTCTCAAAGAGAAAAATAACTTGCACCTGGTCTCAGAGCTTCTAAGTGTCCGAATGGTATCCCAGCCCAGCACCTTTCCACTTTAATAAGAAGGAAAGGGTCATAGATATATCTTATTGTTTATGGATATTTGGAGCCAAACTTCATGGCCTGTAAGTTGGTTATATAATTGGGTCATTTCAGATCTCACAAACCTTTAGCCAATATTACACATTCCCATTTTTATTTTAGTTCCAAGGTAGCTCTTGGTCAGCAGCATCCATTATGTTCATTAAATTACCAACTAGCATAAAGTATTAATAAATTTGAAAGTGAAGCTTATTGTGAAGGCTTTTTTTCCTTGCACTAATGCTGTAACATGAAGTACACAAGGGCTCAGCACCTTCATTCACCTCAAATCACAGTACTCTCCTACTTGAAGTAATGTGTACTAGCTGCTTCCAAAAAATGTTATAGTCTTTCAAAACATTGGCCTGACTCTTAATTAGTAAGATGAAAACTTAAGATTTGAAAAGCATTACAGTTGAAACATTAATTAAATAGCACACTAAGTAAGATCACCGGAAATGTGACAACCATCAACAGTGGTTAAATAGCACAGACAGCCTCAAAATAACTGGGGAGTTGCTACTGAACTAAAATTTTGTGGTATGCAGTTATAGCATAAAGTTAGGGCATTTTCTAGAATTCCTGAGTTTTACCAGCTCTTATCATCTCTTGTCATCAAATTCTAATGTTACTGCCCAATTACATGACTGATTTTGCTGTTATGGTAGTACTCCGAGGTGTTTTGTCCTGAAGTCAGTAATGCACCTAATCTTATATTTTAGGGTAAGGAAAGAGGAAAAGAAAAATAACCACCAGTTAAATACTAAACAGAAGTGTTTGATTCACTTATCTATATTCAACTTTTGAGTAATTTTGTCTTATTCAGTGATTTTTATGTCACATGCTGAATATATATCCCCTCCGGAATTAATCAAATGTATACAGGCCTCATTCTTAGGCCTATATACAAAAAGAGCAAATTAATCCTAAACCAGTAGATCTGCAAATATCATATAGGTGAGATGCATTAAAAGCCACCAGTAGAAATGTATTAATTCATTTATCTACTCTCTGCAGGGAATAAGTTAATTCCATTGAAATTATTGAAGAGCAACTTTAAAATTTTTAACACTTGCTAGCTCTAGTGAAATACTCTGAACACCAGTTCCTTTTCAGTTTCCATCTTACCTACTTTTTGTACCTCTAAACATCACTTCCTGATGGCCTACAAACACCTCAAATTCAGCATAGCTACAACCAAACTCATCTTCCCTGCCTGCCCCTAATCAACTTAGTTGTACAGACCAAAAACATATCAGAGTTCTTTTTGAGTCTCCCTCATCTCCAGGTCTAATTGGCCACCACCAGGTCTTCTTGGTGCCATCCATTCTTTCAATAGACTTTTCAAAATCTTTTACAATCTGGTGTAAGTTTACATTTCCAGCTATCATCCCAATCTGCCACTGAAGTACTTCCTGCATACCACCTTGCCCCTACAAATCCTCTTTCCTCTAAGCGCCCTTTCATTCAACACAGTTCAAAAGTCACTCTCTGAGACTCTAACTCATCCCAGAAGTGCTAAGTGAAATCATTAACATGACATCTTTACCAATGCATACCAGCTAAATGTCATTCCTTATTATCATGTCACACCATAATTATTTGTGTACATGACTGTCACTCTCACATTGCTGAGGCCAGCAATGGTAATTTATTCATCCCAGTTTCCACAGGGTGAAACCCAGTGCCTGGGACAGCGTGGGTGCTAGATAAGTATTTGCATGAAATGGGTATGTGTTGTAAATTGTGATGACTTACAAACTATTAAGCCTATGTACCCCTATACAAATTGTCCCCAGAAAGCCTTGCTTTTTGTCTCATTTATTGCTCAAAGTCATTTTGGCTGCTTAAATTCTTCTTTTCAAAGTGTTTTTAACCTCTGTCAAAGGCAGGAGTGAACAGGCTTGGGGAGAAGGCCTGCACGCATTTGATATGTGAGGCAAAGAGTTGAACTTTTAGTGTGCAAACACTGTGACATCTATTTGGTCTTCATAGAGATCTTTTTAACACCTACTTTTGGGGGCGGCAGCGGCGGTGGTCTCAGGTGTGTCCCAGGTGGATGACATTTCTAGATAAGTGAGCTAAGAATAAAATTCCTAACCAAAAAGTAAACTGCTTCTATTTGAGGACAGGCACAGCTTAAAGGCAGACGGCTTCATTCTCAGCATTCTATAGTCAACTGTTCAAGATTATTCTGCTCAGAGGCTGATCTGCATCATTACTGTTGATTTTAAAAACAGCCTGTGTTCCCACAGAAGATGTTTAGAACATAAGCATCGTTCTCACATAGTCTTGTAAGACAGCTGTAGATCAGACCTCACCCAAATTACTCCATTTACTCACAGACTGAAGAAGAGTTCCCTGTGCAAATACTTAATTACTCACTCTGGAGATACGTGTATCACCCTACTGGATAGCATAATAATATAAAAATACTATCTGCCTTATTCACACCCATTCTGTCATGAGTGGACAATAAATAACAGTTTCCCAGAGGTACATGACATGTGATAACATCACTTTTAGGGCTAATAGTATTTTAACATTTTCTCAGTTTTAATTTCTAATACAGTAAATATTGACATATACAGCCCAAATAAACCCCTTGAAGGTCCTCAATAATTTTTTATTTTAATTTGGCCCTGAGATCAAAGAGTCTGAAGACTGCTAAGATGGACTGTTTTCTATAGCAAAGGCTGCAAAGACACCCACAAATCATAATTAATTCCAGTATTTTCACTTTTATTGAGAGCCTTATGGAAGGCTTTCGTGTTGTCATTCTTCCCTAAGATTGATACTTATTCAAGCTTCAATTTTTTTGTTTTCCTTTCCGCCCTACTGATTTCAAAGGGAAGCTCCATGTCTTCACAGTGTCAGGGTTATAACTCCGGATTTCTATCTTGGTTATGATTTTAAAAACAAAGTATTAAAAACTACAATAATTATAAGTAAATATATGAAGTAGTGAAAAATGGTTAAATGCCCACAGGTACCATCCTGACTATACAAGGAACCACAATGTGTTTGTTTTAAAATGAATATAGACAGAGCACTTAAAAAACATCACTGTACATCAGGAACTTAAAGTACTTTCATTTCTTTTGTAATGTCTTTGAAGTAAAGGCAGGGAAAGATGAGAAAAAATCAGGTTTCTTTCTTAACATCACTAGTTAAATAAGCATTACTTTTAATGGAGCCCTTAGAGGAAGTGGCAAACAAAATATCAAAGCCAGTGAATTTATATACTACTCTCATTTTATCTAGGTTACAGATTACTTATATCACTTTTGCACTAAGTCCCTGTAATTTTAAATGCAAATCCATGGAACTCAATGAACATTCTTTAATCCCACTTAGTTCCTAAACTTCTGAAAGAGAATGGCCCTTACTTTTTGTCTTTCTTCTGTCATTACGTTTGGTATGCAGAAGGTATTTAAAAGTATCTGTATATTTGATTGATCTGACTTGCTAGTTTCTTGTCATATTTAAGCCATATTGTATAAATACTTCCTTCATTTTGCTGCTTATTTAAGTGTGGCTAAATACAGGAAAGGCAACCCATGGAAAGGTGAGAGTAATCTCACATGGAGGGCATGCATACTCCGTAACAAACATACATGTTACCTGACTTTTCTATCTGACTGGCCACAGATAGCTTTGAAAGAGCTAAGAAAAAAGGGGGGATCTTAAGGGTAACCATTTCACTAGAACAGATTAAACAAATGTTAAATTCTTTCCCTCCCAAACAAAATCAGTACAAATGATTTTTTAATACCATGCTAAAATGATGTCAACTCAGTACAATTTAGAGGGAAGGCAACATGCTGAACAAAAACCAAAAACCACAATAAATCAGAGTTTAATAGGGTATTAAAATACATCCTCAGAGATCTAAAGGAAGATTTTATGAAATGAAGAATATTTATTATGAAATAGGAACAACTTAAGCCTAACAATGAGAAAAATACATTAATTCATGAAACTAAAAACTTAAAAGATGGGACACTACTGGAGTGCAGAACTGAAATAAAACTAGAATATGGAAGCCACATACAGAAGTTCTAACATATGTCTAAAAAGTTATCCATGGGGCAATAAAAGACAGGTTAAAGAGGAAGAAATAACAGCTGAGGATTTCCAAAAACAGAATAAAGTATTAAGTTCTTAAAGTGAGTGACCAGGATACATTTGATCAGTAGCATTCAGAGAGATTTGAATACCACAATTAACAAGCCTGATCTAATAGTGATATAGAGAAGTTTGCGCCCAAGAGAGACTATATAGAGAAACCTAGAGTCTCTTCAAACACAAACGGTTTATTTATATACATTAGCCATAAATGGAATTTCAATACATTCCCCCACAACAGATACCATACAAGGCCACATTCATTGATTACAACCCACTTATATTAGAAACCAACAGTGAAATAAGATCTCAAATCCTTATAACTAGAAACTGAAATCCTTACATCTAGGATTGCTTATAAATAATTCATGGATTGAAGATGTAACCAAAATAGACATTGCAAAGTACTTAAGACTAAATGATGATAAAGGCACTGCATTTTAAAACCTGGTGAAATGGAGCCAAACTGTACTAAAAAAAAAAAAAAAAAAAACACAAAAAGCCTGTGTAAACTCTACATATTACAAAGGTTAAAAATAAATCAAGCATTCAGCTCAAGCCAGAAAAAGCACCAGATAAATCAACAAAAAGTACAAGGAATTAAAAGCAAATAGTAATGAAAATGGGGGCTGGAAGGAGATAGTAAAATTTAAGCAATAAATAGTCTAATAAGAGATAAAGTTTTGGAAATATGATGAAGGAAAAATTCTACCATTTATCTGTAGCTACATTAAAAACATTCAAGAGTTGGCCAGGCACGGGGACTCACATCTATAATCCCAGCACTTTGGGAGGCCAAGACGGACAGATTACCAGGTCAGGAGTTTGAGACCAGCCTGGCCAACATGGTGAAACCCCATCTCTACTAAAAGTACAAAAATTAGCTGGACATGGTGGCAGGCACCAGTAATCCTAGCTACTCGGGAGACTGAGGCAGGAGAATAGTTTGGACCTGGGGAGGCAGAGGTTGCAGTGAACCAAGATCGCGCCATTGCACTCCGCCTGGGCGACAGGGCGATACTTCGTCACACACACACAAAAAAATTTGAAAGTTGTTAATTTGCTTAGGTGCGATAGTATGTTTTCTTTAAGTGCTTATCTTTTAGAGTTTGATACTAAATTATGACTAAAACACCTGAGATTTGCTTCAAAATATATTGGGGAAGAAACAGAAATGAAATGAGAATGGCCATGAGCTGTTGATCATTATAACTGAATGATGACTACATGAAGGTTACTGTACTATTATGCTTTGGTGTCTGTTTAACATTTTCTATAATAAAAAGCTAAAAATAATACATATTTTAAAAGAAAATAAGCATTTAAGATTTTATAACTCTATACTAATAAATGTTTAAGCCTAGAAATAAGCATAGTAAAATAACACTTAGTGAACACATGGTATGTGGTGTGTGCCAGTCTCTGTTCTGAGCCATTTACATGTATCAGTTCAATTTTAAACTCTAGTCTCACTATGCGATCTTGGCCAGTTACTTCACCTAAATGTGCCTTATTTATTCAACCTCAAACGGAGATAATACTGGTACCCATACCATAGGGTTACTGTGAGGACTAAGTCGGTACATGTAAATACCTATAAGAGAACATGGCACATAAAGCACAACACATGTTAGTGATCACTAAGAACTGAATAAGAGAATGAGTTTCCACTTGTTAGGGCCCATAAGTCCTGACCAAGGCTACATATGAACAGTAACATACAGAAGATTTAATGCAACATTGATTTAAACAAAAAAGGCTTAGCACCAGAATGGAAATGTATAGGCCAAGCTTACTTATTTGAACTCCGATGCAAAAATGCCAATAAAAAGTGTCTAATAAAACCTAGTATATTAAAAATTAATTACACATCATGAAAAACTTATCCTAGTAATGCAGAGCTGGTGTTAAGCTTTTGATATATTACCAAAAGTTTATCAGTAAATTCAGGACATTTTTAGAGATATTTAAAAAAAAAAATCAATAGATACTGAAAAGCGTACAATAAAACAACACCCATTCATGACCCCCCTCCTCCAAAAAAAACCACTTAGAGTAAAAATAGAAAGCATCCTCTTTACCTTTATAATTGTTATTTACCAGATGCATACTAGCAAACATTTTAGTATTAAAAACTTAGAAGCTTGAACATTTAAGATACATGATACTTGCTTTCAGTGCTAGTATGTAAGCCTATGTAGGTGCTAGCCAACACAGTAAAAGCAGAAGATAGAAGAAGCATAAAAGTTGAACAGAGGGAATATTCGCATTATTGGCAGATAAAGATGTCAACTACCTAGAGAATCCACAAACTATTCAAACTTAAGCCGGGTTCTTCTGTTTGACCGGATACAATTTCACCATGTGAAAATCAGTAACTTTCCCATGTATGAAGTGAAACTAAACAGAAAATGTTGTCACAAAAGGAGGCCATTAATAGGAGTAACAAACTCTAAAGTACCTAAAAATTTACCAAAAATGAAATTGGCAAAGACTATAAAGAAAACTATAAAACCTAGTTAAAAGCTATAAAAGGCCTGAATAAATGGAGAAAAGACATCATGCTCATGAAGAGAAAAACTCAAGATTGAAAAGATGGTAATTTCCTCAGATCCATCTATATATTCAGTGCAACCTAATCAAAATCCCAACAAAAATGTTTGTGTTCCTTAACAATCTGGTTTCAAAATTACTATGAAACAGGATGGAGTCGGGTGGAAGGTTAGAGTTATTTGGACATAAGTGTACCAGTAAAAAATGAAAATTGTATGTTTGAATCACTAAAAACAATATGAAGTAAATGTAGAGACAGCCAAGACTATTACAGAAACTTGCTTTATCGGATATCAAGACTTATTAAGGAACTGGGATACACATGGGGAGGTACAAAAAATAGACAAACAGAATAAAAGGTCAAAATAGAGTTCAGAAATAGGCTTGCATATAGAAGAATGTAGTACATGCTAAAAAGGAAGCTGATGTCAATGAGAAAAGATCACAATGTAAAATAAGAAATGCTGGGACAACTGGTTATCCAATGGAAAAATAACTATAATCAGACCCCTTCCTTACATCAAAGCAAGAATAAGACTCAGATGAATTAGACAATTAAATGTAAAAAAGTAAAATTAGAACATGTAGGAAAGTATCTTTAAAAAAAAGGTTAGAGAAAGCATTCTCAAACAAGATTCCAATAAAAGACAAAAATAAAAGATTTATCAACTTGATTACATCTAAACTATACTTCCGTATAACAAAATGACCACAAACAATGTTAAGAGAAATAGATTGGGGGGAAAAAAAAACTCACAAGTACTACAGACACTGTAAAAATAACTCCTATATAAATCATTTTGAAAGAGGCAAACTTACTAGAAAAGTGTTAATTAGGCAATTTCAGAAGAGAAAATATAGATGGTCAATATTCAAAAAAAGACATTCAGCCTCCCTGGTAATCAAGGAAATGTAAATTAAAACCCTAGTAAGATACAGTCTTCCACTCATCAGACTGGCAAAAGTGTTTCAAGTTTAAAACGATGAGGAGAAGCAAGTATTCTCATGCTGGGAATAGTATGAACAGGTAACAACCACTTGGGAAAGAAATACAGTAGTATCTTTAAAACTTAAAATGGGCATACCTGGGACTCTAGCCCTTCTACTCAGTACCTATGCTAAAGTGCACAAATTCAAACAAGCTAAATGTCCATCTAGAAGGTAAACTTCGTATGCATGTAGCAGACGAAATAATGATGAAATAATGAGTTGAACTGAAATGTAGTGATATACCTAAATCTGGAAGGCTGTATCTACATGTGTAATAATTTTTACCTCTGGAGAGGTTACCTCTAAAGTTGGGGGGTGGTGGCTAAGGGGGACTTTGGTCTTATTTGTATTAAAGATGTAAAACATGTAATATTTTAATGTTATGTAACAATTTAGAAATGACATTTAAGTTTTTCAAAAAACAATGGGCACAGGGCATCTGAACTCCAGTCTCATCTCTGTCACCAGCCAGCAACAGCATCTTGAACAATTCATTTAATCCATCTGTTTTCTCATCACTAATGTGGAAACTATGTTCCATCACAGATTCCTGTGAAAAGTGGAGTTACCAACCTGGCCTGATGGAAATTTACTACCTTTCTAAGACTTTTTTGTGAAGCAAAGAGAACCATATTTATCTTTCCAAGGATTTCATAGAAAGTGCTCTCATTAGGAAAGTTCCACTTCAGTGCCAAAAATAATTACTTCATATGAAATTAATTTTGGAAATTGTCTGTTTGGAGCCATATATTTCCATTTTTTAATTTTTCATATTCTGTAAGTTCAATTTAACTATTTGGAACGGTTTAAAAAAAATTCAGAGCCCTTCATCACTGGCTGCTTGTCCAATAACCTCTAGTTAAGAGGTTCTCTTTATTGTTTTTTCTATTGTACCACCCAACTCATCACCAATACCAAATCATCTTTAGCTCTCCCAAGTCTACTTCTGAACCTCTCATTTCCTATTAGATATCAAGCTAAACGTCTAATGAACCAATTTGGGATATTCCACTTCATAAACAAATCTCACCTTTATGCTAGCTTCCAAATCCCTCCCCCATCCAGCATTTCATTCATTCGTGTCTTTAGAATAAACGTCAAAACAGTCTACTTAGTTTCTATGAAAATACATGACAGTAATTTCGTTTAAATATATTTGGTCCCTTTATACATCTGAAATCATATCTTTTTTTTTCTCCCCCAGGTATGGAGCAGTTTCAGCAGGAATGTTATGTGCCCTTACCACCCTGTCCCAGCAACTGGAGAATGAAAACGCTGTGGATGTTTTCCAGGTTGCAAAAATGATCAATCTTATGAGGCCTGGAGTATTCACAGACATTGTAAGTAGTGTGCTTATGTGTAAAACCTGTACTACATCAGTTGAAACTCAGACTCACAGTTTAGAGCAGTTGTTCTCAACTGGGGGTGATTTTCCCCCACCCAGGGGACATTTGGCCATGTCTGGAGATTTTTTTGCTTGTCACAACTGCAAATGGATGGCATCTAGAGGATACAGGCCAGAGATGCTGCTAAGCAAACCACAGAGCACAAGACAGCCCTCAATACCATAGAATTATCTGGCTCAAAATGTCAGTAGTGCTCAGGTTGAGAAGCCCTGCTTTAGAGGATAGTATTTTCCGGTTATCTTAATGAACTATCAACATTGAGAATTGGTTCCAAGCTAACAGAGATCAAAAGAACATGAAGAAGGTATAGGTCTTGACTATAATGGATTCTCAAATGATTTTTTTTAAAGTTTCTTAGATAACATTTATGATATTTCTGTTTCTCTAGTATGTTTTTCACAATTACCATTTTAATCGCTATTTCTAGCTTACATGAAATGACTAAGCTGTTCTTTGGCTCAAACTGTCTTCCTCTTGTTTTTCAGGAACAATACCAGTTCGTCTATAAAGCAATGCTCAGCTTGGTCAGCACTAAAGAAAATGGAAATGGTCCCATGACAGTGGACAAAAATGGTGCTGTTCTCATTGCAGATGAATCAGACCCTGCCGAGAGCATGGAGTCCCTAGTGTGACTGGAATCCTGAAAGGGCACTTAATTTGTAAACTTCTGAAGACTGAGAACTTTTTTGAGGCCTTTTTTGCCAGACTCTAGGTTATACAATAACCCAGTTACTTTTTTACACTGATAAAAGTTTTGATATTTATTTTTTGCCATTTTATGTCTTACTGGTATCCTACTGAGCATTTGCACCTGTGTTCATTTCACACATGGAAACGCAATGTTACCTAGTTTGCACTATATGATCAGTGTTACTGCCTATAATCTTACACAACAGCAAACCCTGATGTGACATTCCATCACAACGTACATGCTACTTTTTTTTAGTTCGATACAGTGAAGGTCTTTGTTACGACAGTGAATATTGCTTTTATTATTATTATTATTATTATTATTATTGCTAAAGCAGTTGCATTCTACTAGCAGGCAATGCTGTACTTTTCTTCAGTCCTCCTCTCATTTTTTTTAGGCACTGTTCAATACTGTATGCCTTCTGTATTTTAATGGAGTGGATAGCATTGTTTTCTTTTACAGACTAGCAGGCTATTGGGAGCTAAAAAGGTCTGTTAATGTCATGGCCTTGAAACAGTTCCATTTATGCCGGTTAAGAGATCCCTTAAGAAGTTAGAAGGCTTAAGAACTGCTTCATGTGACCATCCCTTATTAGTTACAAAGTTATATTCACAGTTTTTAAAAAATGTGTCAAAATAAAGGATAACTGTATTACAGCTTTCACAGTAGCTATGTGGACAATGTGTGTTATTTCCATTTTGACTCTCTGAAATAGCTACATCCTAAAATCAGGGCTATCTTTAACAATAGCAAGAGGGCAATATTATATACAACTCAGTTAGGAGACCCTTTAGTTATTCTCCATTAATGCTTCTCAGTTTATAATACCATACCTCATAGTAGGTAGAAGAATGAAAACTACTGCAGGTGTGTAATTTTGAAACTAGCCCTCTAAAAATTCCCTATTACTCATATAGCAATCTAATAAAAACTACCTACATAGTTACTATTCTTTTCTTCTTTGCCAAATGTTTTATAATAAATCTCTTAATTATATACATTCTTCTACTTAAGATTAAATTGGAAATACTTTATTAGCAAAAGTCTTGGGACTATCTAAACTCCCACACATAGATAAATCTGATTTGGAGAGAGAATTAAAATATTTAATTAAAGATGATACCCACATTTTCAAGTTTTTAAAAGAGGGAGATGGCTTTGTATGCTTTTGTATAGTTTAGTGTCAAGAACAGATACACATCAGTAAAAGACACCAATAATCATTAGAGCTCAAGGAAGTTATTTAGTGCAGCCTCTGGAGCCATATTCACCCTGCAGTGCATAATGGGAAAATTGGGAGCATTAATAAGAAATTTCAGTAGTGTTCGTTAGAAAAATAAGCTACTTACTGAGATCTGTTTCTTCTATTGCATGTTTGCTTTTGAGGGACAGCTTCTGTCAAAAGTGAAATCATCACCAGAACTGGGCCTGTTAAGAAGAATAGGGTTTTGTTTACTTTTTATGTCAATTAACTTCAACAAAAAGGCCACGCTGGCTCCTGTCATGCCATCTGGGTAGGCATTAAACATTAATGATGATCAGCACTGAGGTTCTATTTATCTTGAGTTGGCTTTCATAAAGTTTGTCAGAATGGTGCTGGAGGACCAGAATTGCTAAGGAGAAAGAAGCTATGGGCCAAGTTAAAGAATTTGAATGCAAAGGCTAGGTCAATGGAGTTTTTGTAAACTACATAACTTACCAGGGTTTATCTCATCTTCTCAATACACATGGAATACTCTGCTTTTCAAGAGGTGTATAAGCTAGTCTTAAGATAAGATGTTCAAGAGAGCATGCTAAGTTGCATGTGCTATAGATGACAGACACTTTTACAGCCCCTCCGTTCCCACCAGAGGTGACACAGGAAGCTCTGTAAAGTTCAAGTAAAGCTTGAACACAGTAACAGTACAACTGCCAGATGCTGAGGAGAATCAGGAAAGCAATGAGCTAGACTTTTCTTTTAGTCAATTAAGTGGGTTATTTTAGTTGCATAGAGTATTGATATGTGTTAACTCTTTTTAGTAGATGGCAAAGTGGGCTTGATGTTCAAAAATAATGTTCAAGTTAGGGTACATGGTCCCTTTCTCAGTGATTTTTTTAATAAAAGTAAACATTGGTTCAAAGACAAAGAGCAAGTATTCCCCCCTGTGCTATTTATAGAGGGCTCAATTCATGGAAAGGCAGACCCTCCAATGCAATTCTGTGGCTATCTCTTACAGTGGTTTCAGAATCACAATAAAACAGCTAGTAAATAGGATAGAAACAACAAAAGAGTTTAGAAGTTCCCTGTGAGCAATCTGTGTGTCTCCAGCAAGCTTGAACCAAAGTCTCCATATCCTGACCCACTGCATTATAAGCAGTTCCTACTTGCCCATCTTGCCAAAGTGGTCCACACACACTTCGATGAGGACAGTTATATTTAGCAGGTCCTCATCCCTGCAAGAGACAGGGATGTCCTTGCAGACATCCCTGCAAGATCCTCACTATTATTATTCATGTGTTATTGGCAAAAACATAGCTTGCATCTTTCCAGAGGCAGAGTTTCAAAGACAGGGTTTTCTTTGAGACATAAGCACATTGCTTACATACATAACAAGGTTATTAACACTTGCACTCAGGGGAAAGGAAATAGCTATTGCAAATTAATGTGTGCTACTTTATAAAATAAGCTGTTTGTGTATATGAATTTAGCTCTAGGTAAGCAAAATGCACACATCATATAAAAATAAATTGCAATGATCAGACCAAATGGCTGTGCTGGACATCAAAGAAAAGACACGTTGCCATCAGGAGAACTCTTTCTTACATGCGATAGCCAAGATATCTTCTTTAATATGAAAAAAGTTAATTTCTGAATTTCAAAAAGAATAAAATTAGCTAATTGGTCATCCTAATTTTTATGCCTTTAGAGTTTTTAGTCTATTCAAGTAGAAGAGTCCAGCAAGGCCAAAGAAGGGTTATGGTGTTCAAGTTCTGGTTGCTGGAGTTTTTAGCCCAGAGTGACATATTGAAATCAGTAAATAGTTATTTTATAATGACACAGCACAACAGCCTTGTTACGAATTTTTCTTAAATGCATATATACTGTATTTAAAATTAAAATATAGATACCAATTTACCAAAGATACATATTACTAATTCTAAGCAAAAATTAAAAAAAAAAACCCAACTCATCATAATTTAAGAATCAAAATGTAGTTTTGTCTTAAGAATTTAGCGGTTATACTGGAAATGCATTTTCAACTCCTATGTTCTAAAGTTTATGTTCAAATGGTGCCAGTGAATTTTTATATGAAGGGAAAATGCCTGCTTTTTTTTTTTTTTTAACAGATGTAATTTCACTTAATCCTTTGCGCTTTCCCTTAGTTGCCATTTAACACACAATCCTGGCTTTACTTATCTCTTGAAAGAAGGCATGCTACAAATAGGAAGGAATTGTAATAATGATATTTGGCCTCTACTTTGTCTTAGCTGTTAAACTCTTTTTAGTATTTTTGTTAAATATTTGCGAAGGGAAGCATTTTCTACAGAGGATAATTAATTTCAAGAAAAATATCTTGAGTTTTAAGAAATAAACATCTCCAGAAAAGGAGACAGTCAATTTTATAAAATGTCGCAACTCTCCAACATTTGGGGTAGTGACTCCTTTTTTGTTAGGACATTTGAAACTAGCAAGCAGCCATTGTTTCTAAAGAATTCTGCCTTCATGTTGACTCATGTTTCTTTCACTTCATTTTGAAATAGCTAAAAATCATTAAAACTGTAAATATTTTGTTGCTTGGGTAAGCATCTTCTGGGAACTTTGTATCTATGGTATATAATCATAGAATTTTATATTTTCATATAAAGCTAATTTTTTTCTAGTTTCACCTCCGTCATAGTTTTTTTTTTTTTTCCTTTTTGTGGTGGATATGTGAATTCAACTTTCTGTGTATTGAAGTAGCAGAAACCATCTTTACATTCCAAAAGAATCCAACATGTGTTATTTCTTTGAGGCAGTGATTGTGAAAGTTGGGTTTTCTTTTTAATTCCATTGACCATTTGTGCAATAGGAATTAGACATAATTAGTCACTGAATACATTCGTCACATTGACCCATTTGGAAAAAGTGGTTTTTTTTGTTTTTTTTTGTTGTTGTTGTTGTTGTTTTTAATATTTGTTCAGGGGGAGGGATTTTGTAACCTGAAAATTTTCCCTTTTTCTTCTGTTTAAACTATATCAAATCATTCTATTATAGTGTTATTTAATATGTAAATTGTATTGCTATACATAAAATAAAGTATGGTTTTTGATGTATTCAGTAGTGTTGAGCATTTCTATGAAAATGTCTCTATCCAATAAAATCAGGTTACTAGTCTCCCTTAACAGATCACATTAATACCCACCAACCCTCTGGTCTAAGTTTTCATGGTAGTAAAATGAACATTGGTAGTCATCTTTACACAGGCAGCAAACCAAAAAGAATGGTCTTTGCTGGGTTGATTTATCAATGTTCTTTCTCCTTTAAAGAGTAAACAATGACATTTTTACCTGCTTATCTAAGGAATCAAACTTTATTCGGTTTATGACTCTGCTGCTAAGTTGTGAACAGAATTACTATTTTCTCTAGTGTATCAACTAGATTTGTAACAGCTCTCTTAATACTTACTATGTAGGATGAAGGATATATCCTGGTAAGACTTCTGAAAAATCTGTATGTGTAGGATCAGTACAATTGCTTCTACTTAACAAGGACTTTTGACGTTTCCAAACAGGTATACAAGTCCCAAACTTGGCAGCTTTGGCCTACCATTCTGTCTTAACTTTTAGTGGCTCCACATCGGGTGCTCAACTCTTCCTACCCAAGGCCCCAGTTTTTCTTCCCATAGAGATAAGAGCTGATACTTCACTCTCGTTAAGTCATGAGGAATTTAAGAAACTGTGTGTGAAGAGTATGGGGAAGAATGACTCTAGCACAAAAGAATGAAATCTCTTAGGATATAATCCTAGTCTTCCTCAAATTATACCCATGGGGAAACTACTACCCTATATCATAGGATACACCAGAGGTCCACAAATTGATGGCTTGTAGATTGCATTCAGTCCACAGATACATTGTATTTGGCTCATAATTTTAAAATTTGTATTAGTTACCAATATTTAAAAAATGAAAACTTTTGCATTAAGATTCAGGTTTCAAGCTCCTTTAAAAAATTTGGGTGTTGTAACAGGCTCACACTCTCCCATGACAGTAACAAGATGGAAATGAACAGCAGTTTTCACACTTAGGTGGAATATATGCTCTCCAGTTCACCAAAGTCTACATTGCTCCCTATCACCTTATGTCTAGCCATCATCGGTCATTTAATTAACCTGCCTGGATCCTGTGAGCAGTTGCCTCTGAGATATCCTATAAGAATTATGACACCATCTTGCATCTCAGGCTAGTAAACCACCAACCAAGAGTGGCAGTAGAACTATCTCTAAGTCTTTCATCATGAAAATCCTAGACAACCAGCACGCAGCACACATTACTAACTACCTCTAAGTTCACCCAAGATGATTCCATTAAGCAGCAGTTACGACTATTCAAAATCATTTTAAAAAATCAATTTTCTACTCCATGGTTTTTACTGCCCAGGACATAACCCTAGACAAGGAAGCTTCATTTATGCTACTACAAATGGCAGAAATAAACCAGAATACAAAAAGCTACTGGTCCAAAACTCTATTTTTAAACAGCTAATTGTGGAACTTTGAGATTTAGAAACAAATCACTACTGACCATGCCTGGATTCAGAGACAGGATTGAAGACAATGGCTTTAAATTCCTGCCTATGTTAGTAAAATCACATAAAGGCACTAGAAGATGGGAACCAGAAGTTGGTTACTAGCAAGTTAAAATTGGCTTTTGTGATTATGAAGTTTGGCAGAGAAGGATAATTACACCAGCAGTTTATCTGAAT